GCAGGCTTAAAGGCTCCGCCCTTTATGATGAGTAAGGGCAAATGTTAATACGACCCTTTAAACAAATGGCTAAATTTGAATTTTCTTGTTAGATTCTCTACCCAAGTAAATTCTCACTCAAACTTAAATTAATAATATTCAGCTCTTCTTAATAAAGAATCTAATTCGCAAGTCATCGACTTAATAGCCTTTTTTCAATAACACTAAAGCTGAATACAACAATGAGACTGTAATTGCAGCTTGTGATCAAGACAACACTACAGCAGCTGAAAGAAATAAAACAACGCTCATTGTTGATGCACTAAATTTACAGCCATTTGCAATAGTGGATAATGAGGGTAATGAAGAAACTGCACTTGCAAATGAAAAAGTTATTTGTAGACTCATTTCAAAGAATAAACCAATAATACCAGTATTCAATCAAAACGACCATATGAAGATACTCGTAATACTATGTGTATTAAATGCACTCCAGAAGTCAACGACGATCTTCGCTACTTATTTGGGATTTCTCCTTATGCAAAATTACTACAACAACGCCAATATGTTCCGTTAACTGACGAAATTTGTAAACTTATGAATATGGATCTGGAACTTCATCCCCAAGTGATTTTCTTTACAGTTGTAATATTGTCTGGAGCCATCACTGTTAATACAAATAATAATAAAGCAATAATGTTAAACACGGCTGAGGTATATGGTAGGACTAAATCAATAGATCACCATCGTGAACCGTATGGAAAATTAAAGGATGGTGTTCAATCCACATCTTTACCACCACCCATCAAGACTATGCATCAAGATGTGTGGCCAAATGTATTAAAAAGACAAGATGGTAGCAAGCTGATAATTGGTACTCAGGTATCAAACGTATTCGCTATGGGAAATTTCCTATAGTGATTAGTAACATCTAGTATTCGTATAGATGAAAAGATAGCTGCTTCTGTAGGTGGAACAATATCCGGGTTTCATCTAAACACTTTGGAGGATTCCTTAGGCTGCAAGATTTTCATGGATCTAGAATGTTTGAAGTTGGCCAAGGAGATAATTAGCAAACCAGAATCAGAATTTACGTCAGAAGTTAGGATTCTTAGACATCAATTAAGACAAATTCGAATTCATTTTGATTCACCATCAACTTATGCCCTCTGCCGCGCCTCTGGCCCTCTTGCTAAAAGTCATACATGCCATCCTTTTACCCTCTTTACATTAAATGAACGTGACCGTGGACGTTCTGCCTACACATCAATTTTTAAGGTAATTACAAATGAAGTTTTGAAAAAACAGGAAAATGGTGCTCTCTGCAAGGAACATGTCAAGGAATGGATTGATCAAGCAACTGGAAAGCCAGCACAAGTATTAGCAAATATACTCAACTTGTATAAAGAAGAAGAAGAGGAACTTCCCATCCTTTTCAACAGTAAACTTAACAAAGAATAGAGTACTTAGTCGAACTTTTAATGCCTTCCATTATCTCAGCTAATAGTGTTGTTGAAAGCCATATTAAACAGATCTTTGAGCTCTACTGTTGAGAATACCCCAGCCCCTCGTATTTGTAACTTAACATCATTTGTTTATTTATCGAATCATAATAAAGATTATATAGTTCTTATTTTGTATTCTATTGCTTAAGTGACTAAAAACACAACACCATGTTTAATTATCGTTGTTGGATTCTAAGATGACTGTGTTTTTTTAGAGTTGAACTCACAACATTAGGTTCACTAACCACACGAGAGAAGATCGCCTTATTGGAACCTGTTATTACCCAAAAAATAACACGACCTGTTCAAATTGTTACTCTGTAGTTATACCGTTAGTGTGCATGGATTATTTAGGTTTCAGTGATTATATTTTATTTACGATATTCAAAAGAATAAACTTTTGTTTTGTGTTGGATTTACTTTTATTGTACAGAGGATATCACAAAAACAAAAATGAAGTGCAATACAATGTGGTATAATTATAGAAGCTGCTAGAGTTTTTCACAGCCTTACGCTTGGAAGGCGTGTTGTATGGGAAGAATATTCACATGGATTATTTTTAAAAAAAAAAAAAAAATAAATAAATAAATCGCGAATAAAGCATTGAGAGGTTTACACAGTGTTTAAAAATGAGAGCAAATTAACAATCCATAAACTTAAGCAGGAGCTATATGTTTTTCCGTGAAGTTCATTTGTTCCTAATTTTAAAAGGCCCAAATTTTACAGTATTAATTTTGTCAATGGGTGGTTTTAATCTTTTCAAAGGGCGTGTTTTTTTGTCTTTATATAAGTACGCTTTTATTACTTCCTCAATTTATATATAATGCTTAAATAGGCTCCTCATTTAAGCACTTTTGAAAGACATTAATAGAGTGCTGGGCGAATGTTTTTAAGTGCTTGGGAGAAACAGAGTTACAAGCCTCGGCAATTCTGGTAGCCAGGCCCTCAGTAGCTTCGAATTGGCTACGCTTAACTTTGTCTTTTACTATTTCCCAAAACTGCTCAATAGGGTTCAGATCTGGAGAGTAAAGAGGAGATAAATGTTCCTATATACTCTCAACGATTAACTGATCGATTCTTTGGCGGTGTGGATAGATGCATTATCCATTACTATGTAATGACCCTTTAGCTCAGGAAATTTGTCCATCTCATCCATAGTTTCTGCAAGAAATTCTAGGTAATGTTCAGTAACGGTGCCTTTCAAAGAAGGCTTTTTCTTAGTTGGCACTTTGATACGCTTCGGCCACCTTTCTTGAGGATTTCGAAATCCCATAGATATGACATATTTAGCCGAGATGGCGCCCAATATGGTGTAAGATACAGCTCTTCCAGATGGAGATACCATGACTGCAGGTGTTCCTTTTGTCGATCATCCACTAGAAGGTCTCATATTGATGTTAAAAGCGGTTTCATTGACAAAAACACAATTTTCAATGTAATTCAATCACTTGCGTTCCATCTCAGGATCCATTTCATTCCATCCTTAATTTTCGCTTCACTGTTTCTTGCGGCTGGTTGAGTGCTCAATCGTTTGAATGAAAGATTACATTTAATCTTCAAAAAGTCATGAACAGTGCTCTTTTTTTATACTGAGATCTGCAAAATTTTTCTGTAAGGGAATCCATTGCATCCACTACTCGTGCTTGGGGATACTCGTCATAAAAGTTGAGATGAAACTTGTGCATGTCACCTAACTGAGGCTTGGTTCTATTGATCAAGTTGGTTTGCTTTTCTAGTGACGGTGTTGATAAATTCATGGAATAAATCGTCCGCGTTGTCCATGGTGACATCGTCAGATTGGAAGATGTCGGCAACTTGGTCGGATACTTTACGACTACTAGGTAAGGCTCCTTGTAAAAGCGTTTTACTGATCCATCCTTTAGAATAGAAGAATCGAGCAACAGCGTACTTGGCGGGGGCGCGTACCATACGATCACTGTGGTGCATGAGGGCGAAATTGGCTCTTTCTTCGGGTGAAAGGTTAACATACTTAGGATCTCGCAAGACTTTGGGATCACAGGGATTAAAATCATCCTTAAGGGTAACTTTAAAGCGTTCTAATTGTTTGCGAAGCTCATTCACATAGCCATTATGCACAAGTAACGCAACGACATTGCGGTCTGGATAGTGTATATCCAATATGCGGTTATCCGTAATATCGAGTTTTCTCAAACGAGTACGAATCTGGCCGATAGGAACTCGTGATTTAGTTGACAAGTATACGTATTGAAATTCTTGATTCTCAGATGGTAGTTGTAGGAGGCGTGCGGCTGCTTCTTGCCGTTGTAATCAGCGTTGTTGTTCATGCTCTGCAAGGCTGCGCTTGATTTGGGAAATACGTTGAGGGTTATTCCATGGAGGTGTTTGCGAGAGTAATGCAGGAAATCTTCGGAGCTGAGATGGCTGTCGTCTTCGTAATGGTTGGGTTGGTTCATATTCGTAGATTGTTGTGTCGCTTGATCTTGTAGTTCGGTCATCTGTTGACGTAAGTTGGCTATCTCTGCACGGACTGCTGCAAGTTCGGTTGAGAAGCGCTTAATCATGTCCAGTAAGGTCTGCATATCGTGTGCCTGGTCGTTTGTGTTACTGTTTTGGGTAGGTTGTGTATTGTGAAAAACTCTAGAAGTTCCGCTGTTTGATGAGTTTACAAGACTGTTAGGAGGAGCTAAAGACTGAACAATGTACATCGTGGTTCGAGCCTTAAAGGTCTTTCCACATCCATGACAACGAAATATGGGCATGGGTGGATCGGTTTTAATGGATTCATTACGACAAAATTGGCCCATCTTCTCGCAATGAGGACATCTCAAGGATTAGCGGTGGCTTCAAACTGCAAAAGCAAAGTAGCTACTGATTCCTGAGTGAGAATGTCATCCGTATTTATTAAATTATTGTTATTTATGTCGCCAGGTGGCCAGTTGAAGCAATTGTTTTCGACATGGTTGGCATAACGTACAAATATGCGAAAGAGCTTATTATAAGTTTCGAATTATGTGACAATACTTGTAGAAAAGCACTGTAATAGTTTTTTTTAAGCATCTTCTTTTTTCATGTCTCTTGAGAATGAAGGATGGCCATCGTTTGTAATCATTTGTACATAAGAAAGTTGAAATGACGGCTGATCTGCTGAAAAGGGACTTCTATATTTCTTCTTTCGCACCCCTTTATGAACAGGCCATGTCCTTTGTCAGATTCCCCGTAGAAAACAACACTGGCTTTTCTGGATCTGCGTTACTGATCACTTTCTTTTGCTGAAAGGTTGCATGTCTTATCCTTGAGTCATTTTTGAGTCTCGTCTATTGTGCCTTCTCCAACGTGAGCAGCAGCAAAACTGCAGCATCGTTTATCTTACTTCTTTATACAACTGGTGCTTCTTAATCACAAAATACCTATTACTACTTACGGTTATTGTGTTACCATCTAATTAAACTTGATGTCTAACGAAGCAATGTCGTTGTAACAGGCTTTTGGAGAGGTTTCATCAAATTCTGTAGTCTTGCTTTCCCCTTCTTCAGCCTTGAACTAATCCAAAACGGCCTCATGCCCAAGAGAAAGACGTAAATATGAAATAGAAACTTTTGAACTCATTTGGGCAGAGGTTGTCATTGTGCGGACCCCTAGATCAATACCGTAAAATGATATGTTACCCAAAGAGTCGGGAAAGGTTTTTCGTGTGTGACCATGAATATGTTTCTACATACACATATATAAAAAGAATATAATGATCTTTTACAACTGAGAATATATATACTGCTTTAATCCAAGCACAACAAATCATAACATATGGCTTATTATGAAAAAAAAAGGAAGGTCTAACTTGTCTATAACAAAGTTTACGATCATTTCAATTTTAATTTCGGAGAGTTTAATTTAATTTTTTTGGACAGTTCAATTTAGGTTAAAGTTCTGTATCTAATCGCATGGGAACACCTTGGCAAAATAATATTAGGAGGATAAACATTTTGTTCCTGCCAAGACATAGCTCCAATTGTTACCTTGCGTTTTAATGTAAGATTACATTAGAAACTTGGATCTTTTAATGCTAGAAAATTTTTAAGGCACGTTAACGTCAATGGGAGGAAAATAGGGTATCCTCTTTTTATTAATGGATGATGTCCGATCGAAAAGGGAGACTTCCTAGATTATGCTGCATTAGATCCATAAACTGGGGTTACCAGTAGTAATAGCTTTGTTAAGAAAGGCTTGGCAAGTAAATTAATTTCAGATGGTATAGTCTTCCTAGTATTCTACACGACAATGGTAAGGTCTTTAGCCAAATGTAGATTAAAGACAGCTAAATATAATTCTCGAGAACATATAAAAGAAGCCTCACGTTTTACCAAAAAAAAGTATAGTTTGTTAGTTTACTACATAATGAAGCTCAAGTGCTTAGCTCTGTGTAAGCATATCTTCTGAATCGACTGTAATGATTATAGGCCAATTATACTAACATGTCTTTTATTAGTGGTTGGCACATTGATCTTTGTAAGCGCACAGGGAGAGTCAGCAAATAAACATATTAAATACAATGTCATTGGACTTTTAAGCTCATCGCAGTCAATGGGCGTCATTGTGGATAATGTTACTTATCCCTTGGAACTCAGTTCGCCGAGCACAATTTTGTATACCGGTAATGCACCTGTAGCTAGACAGGGTTACAGATACACCAAGATTATAAAAGTAGACAACAGCACCATCAGCGAGTCATTCCTTAGATCACCTATAGAAACCAACACTCTGAATGAATTTTTCAATAGAACATGGAATAGGAAGCAAGTTGCTTCATTACCTACTGTATACAAACCACTGCCGTTTATTCATCGCATCTCTTCCGACCTACATCGCGAAGGAGAAATCCCTACCATACACATTATTGCCAATGAATCAGAGATTGCTGCTATGCATAATAATTTCACACAAGATATCGAAGTCATGGCCAGCTTATCCTACGTGTCTTTAAATGACAGCTTGACTTTTAAAAACGTTGGGTTCTCTATTTCAGGTTTCAGCTCCAGATGGATGCCCAAGGCCTCCTATAACATAAAATTGAACGAGGAAGACACTATCTATGGCTATGGGCGAATCAAGTTGAGAGCCATGGCAACGGATCCATCTTATATCCACGAGAAGGTTGCTTATGACATGGTCAAGTCTTTAGGTCTTATTTCAACCGATTTTTCTTACTGCCGTGTATTTTTAAATAATCAAGAGATTGGTTTATTTGGCTTGATCGAAACATTTCAAGAACCTTGGTCCGCTAATGTATTTGCTAATGGAAACAAAGACTACAAGAGCGGCAATCTCTATCAAGGCACAGGCCAAGGTATGAATAACACTGGTGGTTTAAAATACCAAAGTAACTTGACTATATACGAGAATGGATTATATAAGGCAAAGGCTGGCAACAAGAATGATTATGTTCCTCTTCAAGAGTTGACCAAGTTTATTGCTGATGCTCCTGTTAGTGGCCCTGATGCAGTAGCTACCTGGAAGTCAAAGCTGGATATGGACTCTGTTATTCGTGCCATGGCGCTTGAAATTCTTAATGGCTATGACGACGGATACATATTCAATGCCAATAACTATTATATTTACCAAGATCTCTCATCCAACAGGTACATCTATATCCCATCAGACTTGGATATGACCTTGGGCTTTTCTATGGGTGACATAAGGCCTTTAATAACCGGCAACTACTCAACCTTTCCCCAAATTTACAATCGCCCATTGACAAACAAAATGCTTCAAATTCCAGAGTTCAAGCAGCAATTTGAAGAAACATTGATTAACGTTACCAAGCTTCTTGTCAATCCTGCGGCGACTAATGATTTCATTAACAGTCTTGTTGAGATGATACAAGAAGATGTTGCTTGGGATGCTCAGGTTCCTCGTGTGGGCCGTGCAATTACTGGGATGTTGGATATATTAAACATACCATCTGCGAATGGAAGAGCTCCTCAAGATCTTGATATGGACATGTTTTTACGTGCAGTTGCCTCACCCCCAATAGTTGGTATGAATGGCATAAACTTTAGCTATGTCCTGGAGGATCCTATTGCCTTTAATCTAACACGTGATCTTTTTACTGTAATCGCCAAGGGTTTACCTCTTTCACAAGCAGTCAATGGCCCTACTAATAACAGTGCGTTTATGGGAGTTAAAGACTTTATCTACACTATTAGCCAAAACATCGCTAAATTTTTTAATTTTACTTTAAATTAAACGCATTAAATTTATTCATATGTTGTTCATGTCATTGGAAGAACTTTTAAAGTAATATCTAGGCACACTATCAGCATAAGTACCATCTTCGACATCTTCTTCAATCTTATTCAAGAGTGGCAACATAGTATCAAAGTGTTAGGAAACTAAAGCAAAAGTGATTTCATCGGGAACTACCTTATCCATTCGCCCTCACTCATGCGTAACAACGCTTTGATTCCATTCAAATACATCTGCTTTCAACAGGCTCTTCAAGCCAAGTACATATCTCGGTATCAAGTCTTGACATAACAATATCTTCTATTTCCAATGGGTTATTATTAGAAAACTCTCGATGAGGACTAGTACTATACGCTTGCAGTTCTCATGTAGTATGTTTGATAGATGATTTAGCAGATGAGACGATAGAAGAAGAAAGAGAATGCATTATTAAAAAAAGGGTCCGGGTAAAAATTGTTAAAGTCAACAAATTTCGTGAAGGTTAACTGGGCCTGAAAACATATTCAAGCATTGACTCTTATTGGGTATTAAATTAAGCCTATTGTTAAGTAAGCCAAGATTACACAAATGGCGCTAATATATTTTAGCTTTATTTTCATCTTTTTTTATTTTACTTAAACATGACTTTAAAGAAAAGAACTCTGTTTTTTTCAATATTTACTTTTATTTCATTATTCATAGTGCTATGGAAGCAGTTCAACACTACCAAATTAAGTTTAGTCAATAACACAAGCGACAATAGAGTCAAGGCATGCTATGTTGTTCTCGTAAGGAATAGTGAATTGGATGGAATCATACCTACTATGAGACAGATTGAGGATACGTTCAATAAGAAATACAATTATCCCTATGTATTCCTTAATAATGAACCATTCACACCAGAGTTTATGGACAAGGTGAGATCATCAACAAACTCGGACGTTTTGTTTGGTGAAATAGACCAAAGCATGTGGGGATACCCAGATCACATCAATCAAACCTACGCTGCTGAACGTAGAAAGGAGATGGAAATGCAAGGCGTACCTTATGGATCTAGTGAATCTTATCGACACATGTGCAGGTAAGCTCCTTTCCTGAATAAATACATTTCTAATTCTCCCAATAAGGTTCCAAAGTGGATTTTTCTTTAGACATCCGTTATTAGATCAATTTAATTATTATTGGAGGTTAGAACCGTATGTCGATTATTACTGCCAAATAAATTATGACGTATTTCGATTTATGAAGGAAAATAGGAAAAAATATGGCAAGTGATCTCTCTTTTTAAAAAGATATAAAGCTAAAAAAAAAAGAGATAATATAGGATTTAATATGGCACTTAAAGAACATGTTGAAACTATTCCTACACTATGGGATACTGTCCTAAACTTTACAAAATCCACCTACCCACATTTACTAGATCGTAATGACTCTCTTCTACGTTTCATCACTAACGATGGCGGTCTCACCTATAACACCTGTCATGCCTGGTCAAACTTTGAGATTGGCGATCTGTCCTTGTGGAGATCAAAGGAATATTTAGCCTTATTTGATCATTTGGATCAATCAGGCGGGTTTTTCTATGAGAGGTAAATCATGTTACACATGATTGGATCAAATCTTGACCACTCACATAGATGGGGTGATGCTCCTGTACACACCATCGCTGCTGTACTACTACTCAAAAAACATGAGATCCATTTCTTTAATGACATAGGCTACAGACATTCAGATTACACACATTGCCCAGTTCAGCAAGTGTATCGTACCATGTGTAGCTGTGATCCAGATATTAGCTTTGGTAGGACAGAAAAAAAGCAAAGAAAAAAAAACTGATTTGTATCACTAGATTTTAATCAAAACAAGAGCTGTCTTCCTCTTTATCTTGATGCAATGATGAATTAGATAATAAAGTTGTTGTTTAACATGTTTTTTTGTCTTTATTAAACTGTTAATTAGAAATATAGTATTACAATATAGATTAGAGAAAAAGTATAAAAGTGATTAGTAAACACCCTTGACTTGTTCGTCAGTGTTTTGTCTAGGAGGAAGTTCACCGGATAACTCTTCAAGAGTCTTTCCTTTGGTTTCAGGGATGAGGAAGGAAGAGAAGACACCAGTAAGCATGAATAAGGCAAAGACTTGAAGCAAGTGGTTGATCCACTTGTTGGGACCACCAATATCCTTCAAGAGACCAAAACCAACTTGGGCAATGATAGAGCCAATCTTACCAGAAGCAGCTGAGATACCGTGAGCGGTGGATCTGTAACGAGTAGGGAAACATTCACCAGGAACAATGAAAGTAGTTGTGTTGGGGCCAAAGTTAAAGAAGATTTGAGTGATGGTGTAGAGAACGATGAAGAGAACATTAGAGGTAGCAAGAATCTTTTCATAACCGAAACCAAGGATGACAAACATGATGGTGAGCATGATGAAACCCATGATCTGGATGGGCTTACGACCGAGTTTATCAATAGTGAAGACAGAGATCCAGTAGCCAGGAACGGAACCAAGCAAGTTGATGATCACATTACCAACACAGACACGGAAGACAGCGGTGTAAGGGTCGCTGGAGCCACCAAAACCGATGTTGGTAAGAATGATAGAGTTGTTGAGACCAAGACCGTACCAGGCAACATCAAGGGCAAACCAAGAGTAGGCAGCACCAAACAAGACCTTACCATTTTCCCACTTACCAAAGTGTTGGCAAAAGTCAGCCCATGAGGCCTTGGGAGAGGTTTCAACACGAGAGACGGCAATGTTGTCAGTGTAGTCACCAGCAGAGGCACCCTTTTCGATAAAGGCCTTGGCATCACGGATACCCTTTTCGACCTTTTGTTCAACGTCAATGGTGAATCGAGGAGTTTCGGGAATGGTCAAACGATAGTAGAGAGCGCAGCAGCCGGGAATGGCACCAAGACCAATGACGATACGCCAAACGTAGTCAAGCTTTGTTTGATCAGCCTTGATGGCACTTTGGAATGCAGCAGTAACGACCAAACCGACGAGACCAGCAGTGACTTGACCGATACCTTGCATGGCAAAGACAGCAGCCATCATGGCACCACGGCGCTTGGTTGTAGCAAATTCAGATGTAATGACAGAGGATAAAGGATAGTCACCACCGATACCAATACCGACAATGATACGCCAGAACGTGATCACACCCCAGAAGGAAGCAGCAGGACCATTGCCAACGAGGGCTTGGCCGATAGTACCGATAATAATAATCATCAATTCAACACCATACATTCTCTTACGACCCACACGATCAGCGAGCCAGCCAAACAAGAGTTGACCGACGACAGTACCAACAGAGCAGGAAACTTTGATAGCAGTATCAACGTTATAAGGAGTCTTGTTGCCATTATCTTGGAAGTAAACGAAACCGATCATAGCAGAGACCAGGTTGATAGCAAAAATATCATAAGCATCAGTGAAAAAACCGATACCTGAGACGATACAAGCACGAATATGGAACCAGCCAAACTTGGCATTGTCAATCTATAAAAGAAAAAGCATGTTAGGGTATGAGATGTCAAAGATCGACCTGTATTTACCTCGTCCAAGGCAGCACGACGACGTTCAAGTGCATCTAAAGCAAGTTGATCATGATTGATCCCTTCATCCATTTGGATGGTTTTATGTTCTGTGTCAAGAGACATTAATGAAAGAAAGAGTAACGAAATCACAAAAAAAAGGAAAACGGGTTTATTTTATAATAAATCAGATATTACACAGTTAGCACTTTATTATAGAAAGTAGCCAATCGATTGAACCATGTGGAAAGGTAAAGAGAGACTTTATCAGTGAGAAGAAACACTGGTTGAGAGTAGTACAATCAAAATCGGCCAATCAAAATTATAACAAAGTCCACGCTGATTCTAAATGTTCAAGTTTATGCTTCTAATGGTTCCATAGTCAGGTTATTCCATATATAAAAAAAACCATGTCATGATTGAAAAAGTCAGCGAGGGATGAGTAAAAGAACAGTTTGTTATGTGATAGTTTCTGACAAATAATTGTCTCTGGATGATATTGTCTTGGTAATTCTGTCTTGATTTATTGTCATGGTGATTCTGGCCCTTTTTTTATCTTTTTCTGTGTTAAGACATTCGCTAACCAAAAAGAGAAATATGGCACCAATAGCATTTAAGCTTTTTTTATATACCCGATACGAATGGCACTGATCTCTTTTACTGACATTATGGAAATCATAGAAGGAAAAAGAGTGTTCTGATTGGCCAGCTACGTGATAAAACGAACTGTCGTCAATGATACGTCAATTTATAAGTGTACTTTATTTTTTTTTACAACATGTGAGTATAAATATGCCAACAGTGAATTTACAGATGATTGATAATAATAACAAATGATGATTTCAGGAACGAACTGGATTAGGTTCGATATATACAACTTGGGCTAAATCTCGAAAAGAGTCAATAAAAATAGGTGTATGTCTGAATTGACCTAATCCTTGAAGAGCTTCAAATTCATCCTGTGTCAAATGAAGTTCTTTTAGCAGTCCTTTTTCTTGTTTTGGTTGACACAAATCAGCAACAGCCATAGTCTGTTTATGTTTCAAGTCATGTTGTTCATTAAAGCCTTCGTTTAATTTAGGTGATTTGCTGCCACGATCATTTTTATGAGTTTGAGTGTGTTGCATCATATTATCGAATCGACTGAACCGTCTGCTGCAACCAGGCACGATGCATTTGAATGGCTTTTCTCCAGTGTGTTTACGAGTGTGTCTCGCTAGATGTTCCGAGCGAGTAAAGACCATGTTACAGTCACCATAGCCAGTACAGCGAAATAACTTGGGTTTAGTGGAGCGTGTCTTTTTTATAGGAGTAGTATTGGTTGTGGAAGTATTCATGAAAGAAGAACGAAAGAATCAAAACGTGTATTTATAATACAAGCAAAGAGAGCGGGAAATTCAGGTACCAAAAAAAATTTTTATTTTAATAATCATGACATAGTGTCATTGTTATTCTATCGTCATCCTCATTTAACACTTTATGAAAGGGAATAATGCAAACCTAAATATAGAACATAAGCACACGTATTATATTATATTCGCTCTCCTTGCTTTTTTATTTCAATTAAAAACAATTCATATCAATTTCTTTCTTTCTTTCATTGTCAACGCGTGCGCCCGCAGCAATCAAGGAAATATCAATCAATCCACAGATAAAACAGAAATAGTCAATAATGATTACAACAGTCTTTCTCTCTTTCACTCTTTTTCTCTTTTGTTTTCCCCCTTTTTTGTGATCAATGAAAGATCCCAAAAAAAGGAGTAAAGATGGATTTTTCGAAATAGTTCGTTCATTCAGCTGCGGAAATTCATTCGCGGAAGCCTTTTTCCGTATTTTCATCATTTACTATAATTGGAATGCAAGACAACACAGTAAGCATGAAATTCATAGACAAAATGATAGACTCAACTCAAGAAAATGAAAAGCACAGAGTAACTAATACATAAAAAAAATGAACCAAGATAAAGGGCTTTTTATCAATACAACAAAATTAAAGAAATTATCGGAAAATAGATGAATTGATTGACCGCAACAAAGCCTCCCCCTTTTTTGTCAGGTACATATAAACACACACACACACACATATGTACACACACGCATGTACACACGCACATATATATATATATATATACAGGGTCATATTCATACACCATAACTCTTTTAATACATTTAAAAGAAAACAAAAAAAAGGAAAAGGACATAGAGTACGCGCATCCTTTTGTTTTTCCAGGTCAACAATATGCTATTTATTCCCCGATTAATCAACCAATGTTTACAAAAACTCAATGATTGCCTTAAAGACCTGTTGGGGATGTTTCTTGAGGGATCCTTTTATTTAATTAATTATGCATGTCATCCTTTACATAGGCTTGTAAAAAAATTGAATACAATTTTTGTATTCATTTCATTGTTACTTTATGACATAATGTAGCAAGATAAACTTGATTTGTATTCTTTCCCGACATCGAATTCGCAGGCTAAACTATAATTGAAGTAGGAAACTTTACCCAAACATCTTTGCGTGTGCTGCGCTATGTCAAGTGTCACCCCAGCACACAGAAAAGTAGGTTGCACAGAAGCAACACTTGCTATTTTTTATATTATTTCCCATTGTATTCGTTTTCTTTCTCCCTCTTTCTCTCTGCCTGCGGCAGATGAATACAAAAGGAAGTTAATGTAACTAGCTGGTTGGTTTATTCACCCTTGTTAGTTTATCAAACATATTTGTTGTCTTGTGAACCAGAGACAGAGCTATAGGGATAAGCTCTGGTTTAATAGTCTGGGAATGTTGAAATATTAGCGTCAAAACTAAAGTTGGTAGTGTGATCACTAGTGTTGGTCTTGATTGTTGGTGGAATTACATAATGATTTTCCATTGTTGGCTATTTATAGAGTAGCCTTCTTCTGAGTTGACAATGAGAACTATATTATGCTTTACAAAATCAAGAACAATATATTACTTTTCCCTTAATCAATATCTCTCAGCCCATCAATTCTGAAATTGCAGGATCATATAAATAGATGATGTCTGTTTATAAATCTTTGCATTCACAGAAATATCGCACAAGAAAACTTGACAAACTCATTATATAAAGACGTCAGCATTTTGAAATGATTATAAATACTTGTCCTCTTTAAAGTAGAACCAAAATTATGTGTAGATTTTTTATTACAGGAAATAACTGCCCTCTATCTGTTTGTCCACTGAACCCTGAGCTAATGATCATACGAGTCAAAATCAAGAACATTTTATTGATTCCAAAAGCAAATAGAGTCATGGTTTGTTCTTGAACTTTATCAGCCTTACACTTTAGTATTACTCTAAGGGAAATGAACTCCAAATACGACGATGATGGTGTTGAACTGCTGCATTATTTGAGAATATATGGTTCAGTTTAGTTTTAACCACTTTAATCTCAAGAAGTTTTTGAAAAATAAAAAGCAAGTCCAGTGTGTCCTTCCAGAGGCAAAGGTATCAATATCATCAGTCATGATTATTTGCTATAAATATGTTTATTTCCAACAGTAAATTATCCCCTGATTTGCTATCAGATATGTAAACTGAGAACAACTTGATCTTGCACATCTTCAGTATTTTCACTTTCTTGACTGATCCTTTCTTTGACAAATTCAACTTGTGCTGCATGCGTCAGATTATAGTAAGATATTGAGAATAATCTTAAAGACAGATTGCTTGTTGGTCGATGAAAAAAAAAGAAATAATTGAAATGTTTGCGATCATCAGAAGAAGTAGCATACCAGCTTTTCTTAAATCTTACAAATAGACAACAATTATACTTATAATCATGATTTATACTTGATTTTTATTTTATTGAATCAAAGCTATGAACTATAGAAAAGGGAATATGTTTATTTATATCAATTTAGGTCTATAAAATCTGACAACTTGGCTATTCAGCTATTATAAACTGACCTCTCTCCAATTTAACGTTCCCTGTGCTACCTCCATTGTAGGCACGTGACTACGCTTGAGTTTAAATTCATGCATAAACATCCTCAATGCTATTACTGACAAGCATCTTATAGACAAAGCACTCTCTAATCATATGCTTTGGGTATTTGTATTGACATAGACAATGCTAAACAATGTGAGATCAGTGACAAAAGCATTCAATACTATGACTATTTGCTTCCAAAGTAGATGACAGCAAAAGCCTAAATAACTTGGCAAGATATAGTAAAAGGATCGTTGATATCATTTATATGTCGTTGTCTCTCTCTCTCTAATCGGAATAAATCCAAATTATCGTCAGGGGGTCAAGAATGAAACATGACAATAGGGACATTTGTTTATGCCAATTTTTTTTTCTTTCTCTTCTTCTTCAATTTTAATGCTTGACGTTATTCCTTTTGAAATACTATTCAAAATTGCTTCTTATTTGGATATAAATGATATCGACACTCTTTGTAGTATAAACAAGTCACTTTCACTTGTTGTTCGTAATGACCTATTTTGGAAATGTCTTTGTTATCTCAACGGTATCTCTCGTTGTTTTCCAGATTTATCATGGAAAGAATTGTATTGCTCTATTCGTTGTCCTGGAAACTGTCCTCATCTTGCACAAAATGGTTCCTTTTCCATCTTAGAAAAGAAAAGACACTTTTGGTCGCTGATCCGTGATAAACAATGGATTGGTCATACTTTATTTTGTCTTGATCCTTCTTGTGATTTTGTTGGTAAATTCAAACACACAAAAGTCTGATAATATATGTTGAACAAAATAATTTTCAGGTGACAAGCATACATTCAATGAGCATCATCCGAATCATTTCCTTGCCTTTTCTCTCACTCAATTACGTCCATGGGATCTTTGGTGCTCTTCATGTTCAAAGATGGTACGTTTCTCATTTGACAAATCTATGAGTTATCTAAAGTATATATTTAAGTTTTATTGTCACAGCATTCAACCTGTTGAAGAGACTATGGTCAAAGCCATCTATTCCTATTATCTCATCGAAGATCACTCAGACATGAATCATTCTATTGTTGAAGGCAGAAGGTCGATCGAAAGAAGAATATATCGGTCTCAGACGATGCGAGAGCCTCAACATATCATTGAAAAACATTGGTATGATCAGTGGACAAACTTTATATATGGTAATTAAAGGAGGTCATTTAGTGAATGTTTATAGATATTCACCATGTATTAGGTGCAGACCAGCACGCTCCTGATAGGCTTGACAACAGTAGTCTCTTTTGTCAGGATGGTTCACTAAAGCCTGATCTGTCATTTGGTGCTGACTTTGAGCTAGTAACAAGTACAGTCAGAGACTACATCATCAGGGCCTATGGTGTTCTTCATGAACCAATTTCTATAGGTAAATATGCGTGTCTGTTTTCCGAGATCATATTCATATGTTTATTAGATGACCTAAGATGGAGCAGTGAACATTGTCGACTTATTCATTCAGTTAATGTCAATTTACACTTTATTCGAAGTCTTTCTCCTTATCCAGTCATCATCACCGAGAATCAATAAACTCCCGATTCTTCGAAATTTGAACAATAGTGATTATTACTATGTTTGGTAATAATACGATTAACAGCTTTTTATTTACCAAACCCAAGTGGGCCACTTCAAACAATGAAAGAAGTATCTAAAAACCCCTCTGGGCTCGAGGGTAAAAATATTATAGCTTGAAGGAAGGGACAAAGAAGTGGATCTCAGAAAGGAAGGCTATTGAGAGAGCAGTAGTTTGAATCAGTTCTGTATATATTGCTTGAAGATGACACAGTCTAGGGTAATATTGCTGTGATGTTTCTATTGTTAAACGGCCATAAATCACTCTACAAACTCGGTACCAGAAACCTTGATCAAATAAATCAGTCGATAAATCTGAAACATCTCGTAAGATATAGTAATTGATAAAGCTTGAGCTTTCTACCTGGGTGTCATGTTCTTGCTCGTCTAATTTTTGTTGCTTTTTATTGCGAATCAACTATTCTGATGCAGGATATAGAATAGGACGCATCATAAGATTATACTGAAAAGAAAGGGGAACCTTAGTCTGATATACTTTTTGAAACGCATACAGCTTGTTGTGGCAAATCTCAAGACTCCACAAAAAGATGCACTCCCCTAAATAAATAAAGCCTCATTATACGATTGCTTTATCTTTTACAAAAGAACATACCTCTGGCATGGAGAAATAGCGATTTTAGAGTCATTGATGTATGGATTGTTGCTTTATAGTATTTCTTGATGATGGCATTCAGCATCGTCAGCACGCCAAAGCAGCCTTTCACATGATCGTAACTAACGCGAGAAATGTCATTTAGCTTGTACTTGCCAGAAACTTCCAACAAGCAGATTTCTATGCTACTTTGAAACAGAATTGCACCATCAGCCTTGCGCTCTTCGCTGCAAGAAAACAGAGTATGCTCTCCACAGACGAAAGAGAAATCAGTGTTTTTTAGAGCATCCACTGCAAACTCGGCTATTGGCCATACGATGTTATAGCTGATGGCGATCCTCTTTTCCAAATCTTTCTTAAATAATGTCACCATACAATTGAGCAAAGATGATTGTTAAAACTTGTGGGAATATAAAATGATGATTACTTACGTAAAAAGAAATCTTATACAAAATTGATGCTTGGTTGTTGAATTAAGAGCCTTCAATAATTTCTCTTATTTCTCTTTTTGGTTTGTTCTGACAACAAGAAAACAAAGATTAGATATATTATATTTTGCTTGAAGATTAAACTAAGTCAGTTACGCTACCTCTTCAACGGCAGAAAAGAGGCAAACACTACATGCACCAGAAAATACACCAGAAGTTAGGCTAATCCTAGGAGCACTGCCTCTACACATTACCTATTATGTCACCTAACAAAATTTTTCAACCATCTTGGTTTTGTTTCTTTTCAGGAAGAAGAAATAAAATAAATGTTGCTATTTTTTATTCTAGTTTTATGCTGTCGTGTGCTATCAACAAAGATGCAAGAACACATGTAATTATGATAGCATTGTATTTCATACCAGAGACAGCCTTAGGTTAGACTTTGGTAGGAGTTGTATAGTGACACCACATGTAGTTTCCCAAGGAGACGGCTGTAGTATTGGCCTATTTTCTGGTGCATTTTTGAGTGCACCAAGCGTTTGCCAGAAAAGACACCTTGATTCACACAAAGAAAAAGTACGATGAGATTATGTGTATCTTAAAGTGAAGAGAAAAAAGAGATGATAGCACAATCTATGTTTATATATGAAGAATCTGAGTTGTTTAAATTGCGTTGACCACATTCAATAAAGGGATAGCAGATCTTGTAGCAACATTAGGTTCAACTCTAGATATTATATTTAAACACTGAATAGTAGCGTGGATGCTACACATATATTCAGTGCAGGTGGTAAACGAAGTTTCTACTTCATACGCGTCAAGGCTAAGATGCTCATACAACCTGATCAATAAACATTCCCCCTTTTTTTATACGCGTAAATGTAAAATAATATGTGCAGGCGCGTACTTTAATTTTTTTTTTTCTTTCTTAATTAATTTTCACAATGTCAATCAATAAGAAAATACTCATCGGCCCAGCAGAAGAAGAAATTAGAACTAAACTGTCTCAGTCGAGAGAGCCTTTGGAGGTTATCAAGGCCTTTCAAAAGGAATATGGCCTTGATCTTCCTGGAATCGAACACATGTATCCATTATTAGATCTCTGTGGCTATAGTCGTTATGAGATTCATAAAGCTTGCTTAGAGGCACTGAATAAAGAAACAGTTAGATACATTGAAAGCCCTTCATTCCAACTTGAAAAGTATGTGTTCTTACATTTCAATACACAGATATTAACTCTTCAAAAACACATGTACAGTTTTTATGACTTGTTCAAGAAAACCTTTCCTTATATTCATATACCTCTAATGCAGCCGATTCCTATGGCTCTTTTAAAGAAATTTGAAAGACATGTAGAAGAAGATGTGATTGCAAAGTTGAAATCAGACATGAATATCTTTGCTAATTGTCCACTCAACATCAAGCAGCGCGTCTGGAAGCAAGACGAAGCTTTCTTTCATCAAAGTATGCTACCATTTCTCAATAACTATCATCATGACGAAGCCTTACAAAAATTGACTGTCAATTTGAAACCGGATAGTTATCAAGAAGTGATCGAACAAAGGTAGTCTTTTGTTTTGTTTGATGATCATATTCGATAGACATTAACTCTTTATCGTAGACGGACTCATCCTATTGTTCAAAAATTCATGGAAGTCATTGATGGTGATCCGGATATTTATAGGATGTTTATAAAGATGATCAGAATCGTATTTGAAACAACACCTTATCCTACTCTTTGTTCCCTGCGTATTGACATATTGATGAATTATCATGATTTAGGCGTAGAGAAGGTAAGAACTATATAAATCACGGGAATAAACACCAATGCACTTTGTTATTAGATTTATGATATGGATCGGTGTCATCAATTGATCTGGTCTCTGGATACATGCGTGCGTAACCAGAACTTGGATGAATCAATCATCGAAAAGATTAAAGAATGCTTTGATGACGTGAGAAATGGCACACCACTCTACGCGTAAGAGAAATAAACGATAGAAGACAATGACTCATACTATTTACTATAGTGACTTTGCTATGGTTCTCATGGACCCTATGATTTCGAACTTTTTAACATCATGTATCGTCAAATGGCTAAGAAGTAGCGTGGATGACAATACACCTCAGGGTGTAAATCTAGAAGAACTCATCGACTATACCGCCAAATTGCTGAACCTGGCAGAACATGCACCCATGGCTATTGCAAATAATACAAGAATACCAAGACTAGATCAAGAGCTAAAAACATCGCTCTGGACAGTGATATGTAGTATATTCTTGTCTGAGGATGCGGACTACAAAGTGCCCATAAAGGAATCAGATTATACCATTCTTCATACTATGCTTCAACGCAGTGATATTGCACGCAAGGTCTTTGTTCATTACCTTATCGACCGTGTACAAGAACGAGATATAGGCACACTTAATCGATGTCTCGCCCTGGTTATGAACACATGGCCATCAGAAAATTATGATGAAAGAGGAATTATCTACAGACAGACATATGTTGGCTTTGTCAGAACTATGATTGACATCTTGTCCAAACGCAACCTTAATGAACTCGTTGCTGATGTCAGGTGGAGACAAGCTGTGGTGGAAGGCTTTTTAATAAAAGCGGTCGCATGGGACGTAAAGATACACGATCAAATGATCTATTTGCTCACTGAATACTTTAATGATCCAAAATTGCTCATCAAGTTAGGACCTCAAGTGGCCATCCTATCTGATTGGGCAGATATGATTGTGATGAATGGTCTGGTGGATGATAAGGTATACATATATATATATACATGCAATTGTAAGGTCATATAACTAACCTTCCTTCTAGTATAGGGATTATTTGAGAGATGCTTACATTTATCTTGTTACAAAATCACAAACTGTTCTAAATGGTGATTTTAAAATCATGCCTTCTGCAGTTATCCATTTCTGTGAAACAGGAAACACCTTTTCATCCCAAGCACAACTTTAATAAATAAATCTATCCGCAGGAAATAAAGAAATTCAGGGCTCATAAGACGGACAAAGTGAGACGGCTGTGTAATTACTGCGGTCTGTGGCTTTTTCTATTCATATTTGAGCTGAACTTGTGATTTTTACAACTTGTATTTCATATGCCAGCTATTACGCCTACGCAGCTTGCTGCTCTACAGCATAATACAAAGAATATTCGAAACATTTGTATACTTGCTCATGTTGATCATGGCAAAACAACACTATCTGATTCACTTTTGGCAACCAATGGTATCATTTCTTCCAAAATGGCAGGAAAAATAAGATATCTTGATTCTCGAGAAGACGAACAAGAAAGAGGTATCACTATGGAATCAAGTGCAATCAGTTTATACTTTAAGCTTCTCAAGACAAATGAAGGTAAAGAAAAAGAAGACTTAAAAAGACAAGTCTAACATGTGTGTCTTTTACAATAGAGGGTAAAGCTACGGAAAGTGAATACTTGATCAATTTGATCGATTCACCTGGACATGTCGATTTTTCTTCTGAAGTATCCACAGCCTCGCGTTTATGTGATGGTGGCCTTGTTCTAATTGATGTGGTCGAAGGAGTCTGTACACAGGTAATTCCATCTTAAAGAGTTTCGAGAGGGGAAAGACTTAGCTTTGCTATAGACCATATCTGTATTACGCCAAGCATGGATAGATAAAGTACGACCCATACTCGTGTTTAACAAGATGGATCGATTGATTGTAGAGCTAAAGATGACACCACATGAAGCATATATCCATATCAACAAAATTCTTGAACAAGCAAATGCGATCATGGCTACATTTTTCACTGGAGACTTGATGGAAGAGGAGGCTTTGAAGCTCGCAGCAGAGAAGGCACAGAAAGTCGAAGAGGAAGAATTTGATACAAACAAGATTTATGACTGGAGTATGGAAGAACATGATGACTCTGATATTTACTTTGATCCTGCGAGAGGAAATGTCGTGTTTGCAAGTGCTGTCGATGGTTGGGCATTTAGGTAAAGGACTACTAAAGCTTGTTAGAGATGACGTGTTTAATCAATTGTGTAGAATCCAACAGTTTGCATCGTTTTATGCAAAGAAGCTTGGATTTAAGGAACAGGTGCTTCAAAAGTGTCTTTGGGGAGAATACTACTTTGATGCGAAAGCCAAGCGTGTTATTCTTCCAAAGCATCTGAAAGGAAGAAACTTGAAGCCAATGTTTGTCCAATTTGTACTTGACAATATTTGGGCAGTATACAGCAGCGTTGTGATCGAACCGTAAGTTTTGTACACACACTGATAACATGTCTCTCTTACATTGATTTCTCTCATTCAGGGATAAGGAACGCGTCGAAAAGATTGTGAATGCATTAAAGATCAAGGTACTACCCAGAGACTTAAAATCTCGTGATTCTCAAGTGCTATTATCTGCCATCTTCTCTCAATGGCTTCCTCTTTCTACTTGTATACTTTTAGCCATCATTGGACAACTGCCACCTCCATCTGATGCTCAAAAGATACGTATACCAAGAATGTTATATCCCAACGATCGCTTTAAGCGAAACGAGCAAGTTGAACCTACCAATACAGTTGAACAAGCACTTTACAACTGCGACACGTCCGATGAAGCACCTGTTGTTGCCTACATTAGTAAAATGTTTGCTGTTCCTGTTGCATTATTACCAGAGAACCGACGAAAGCAAATGACAGCTGAAGAGATGCGACAGAAAGGAAGACAGCAACGTGATTTACGCGCTACTCATGCGCTATTAGACAAGTCTGGAGAAGGTATTCCAATTGATGCTGAGCAAATCGCTGCCTTGACGGAGGAAGTGGAAGCACTCGAAAAGCAAAACATGGAAGAACTCAAGGGTGAACGTATCATTGGATTTGCTCGTCTTTACAGTGGCCGTATACGTGTTGGACAGAAATTATATGTGCTTGGTCCCAAGTATGATCCCAAGTCTCCTAATAAGCATGTATCTGAGATCACTGTCGAAAGCCTGTATCTTATCATGGGCCGTGAATTAGAGTGCCTGGAAGAAGTTAGTGCGGGTAATGTGTTTGGTATTGGTGGATTGGAAGGCCACATCTTGAAGAACGGCACATTGACAAGCACACTATCTGATGTCAAAAATATGGCCGGTGTAACGTTGGAGAGTGCTCCAATTGTGCGTGTAGCTCTGGAACCTGAGGACCCTACTGAGATGAACAAATTGGTCGAGGGTCTTCGTCTGTTGAACCAAGCAGATCCTTGTGTTGAAGTTATGCTTCAAGAAACAGGTGAACATGTCATATTAACTGCTGGTGAACTTCATTTAGAGAGATGTTTACGTGACTTGAAAGAACGGTTTGCCAAGATTGAAATCCATGTATCTGATCCAATCGTGCCTTTTCGAGAAAGTATTGTCCGTGGTGAGCTGCCGATCAATAAGGAAAAGGACGGCGTTAGCTTGCCAAGGGGTAGAATTGACATCAAGCTGAACTCCAAACATCTCACCCTTCAAATTCAAACGGTTCCTCTTCCTCCTCGAATCACTGAACTCTTATTGAAGCATGCTCCTTCCATCAAGGCTATTGTCGAAGAAAAACTTGCCAAGAAGATAGTAAAGATCGAATCTGACGAAGACTCTCTCGAAAACTCTGGTAACACCAGCACAGCAAGTAGCAATAAACTTTTATCTGCTAAAGAACTACGAACACTGCTTGAAAAAGAATTTATGGAAGCCAAGAAAGAAGGTGGACCATTTGCACAATATTGGGATGGCATCGTTGATCAGATATGGGCATTTGGTCCTCGTCGTACAGGATCAAACATTTTGGTCAATCGAGTTCCCGGATATGTTAGACGATCATTCTTTGAAATGGATTCAACAAAGAGTACAGAGATTGTTGCTGATCATGCTGATGAAGTAATCAAGGTCGAAGAAAACGAGAATGATTTGTCCATTCTAGATTTCGATTTCCATATCCATACAGGATTTCAATTGAGCACCTTGTCAGGTCCCTTATGCGCTGAACCAGTGACCGGTGTCTGTTATATCGTTCAAGCAGTCGATATTCATCCACCTGAAACTGTCAATGGTGGAGAATCCACGGATAGTAAGGAAATTCTGACATACTTTAGATCACAAACTCACAACATTCTCTTCTTTAGCGCGTTCTCGATTGCATGTGATCCAAGGACAAGTCATTGCGGCCACCAAAGAAGCTTGCCGTCAAGGTTTCCTTGATTGGTCACCTCGTTTATTGCTTGCGATGTATACATGTGATATCCAGGCTACAGCTGAGGTTCTTGGTCGTGTTTATGGAGTCATTTCAAGACGTAAAGGACGAATTATATCCGAAGACCTTAAGGATGGTACACACTTTTGGCAGATCCATGCTTTATTGCCTGTTGTCGAAAGTTTTGGCTTTTCTGATGGTAATGGACAAAAATGTAGTGAAGCGTATATTACTAACTCATTTTAGAAATTCGCAAGAGGACATCTGGTGCAGCTAGCCCACAGCTTGTGTTTAGTGGATTTGAAATGCTAGATGAAGATCCTTTCTGGGTTCCTACTACAGAAGAAGAATTGGAAGATTTGGGTGAAAAGGCAGATAAAGAGAATTTAGCTAGAAAGTATATGGACATGGTTAGAAAGAGAAAGGTAATAAGAGTCCAATCTTTTGGTTCTCCTTTGGGCTAACGTCTTCTTTTTAGGGTATGTTTGTAGAAAAGAAGTTGGTAGAACATGCCGAAAAGCAGCGAACATTGAAAAAGAATTAAGACCATAGAAATATAATGTAACTTTTACTGCAATAATAACTACATCTTGTACATAAAATAAAAATGGCCCTCTCGTCAGTTCAATACCTTCCTTTATTATCAACACTTGGGTTTAGGTGCTTATTTCTTCATCTTCATTCCAATTTTCCAAATATCTCTCTACATAAGCTATAAAGTTTGACGCTGGTGGAGCAGTTAATTCTTCATCTGTACTACAATTATTGACCATATGCCTCGTTGCGCCAAAGAGGCTTGATTCTTTATCAAAATTCATAAATATATAATCATATTCTGAATAACCACAGACACAAAGCCAGTCTTTATCTGCACAGGAAACACCTTGTATCTCTGAAGCCCATTCTTGTTTGATTTCTTCACTTCCGAATACGCTATTTGTGATTTGTATAATCTCTTTGGGATTGTATATATTGAAACCGAAAACATTGTAATGTTCTTCTACAAGATGCCATTCAGAGCCAATGCGCCACAAGGACTCTAATTCTTCAGGTATTGCAGGGTGCGACATTCCAAGTGATTTACAATTTTTAATAAACGTGTCAAGATCTTCATTTGAAGCGGGTGGTCCAACTACTTTGAATCTATGAGGCTGTAGTTTTGGCATTGATTATAAAAAGGTGTAGTGTCAATTTAGGGCTTTAGGTTTATTTATGCAGCGGAAACTGTGTCAAAGGGCGGTTTTTAAATTGTCAATAAGACTCTTATCCAAAGTATGAATTTACAGTTGCATGTTCAAGAGAAAGTAAGCATCATTTTGTTTTACTATGCATTACAGTGCTTGAAGACATCATACGCGAATTAGACAAGGTAAACAATAACTTTTTATTATTTGTTATAAATCATAACAGGGAAACAAATCTATAGCTTGGTAAAAACCTGACTTTGCTGTTTGGTGCAATTGTGCCAGATGATCAATGGAGGAACTTATTTGAGGAGGATATTGAGCAGAATAATAGATTACAAATTGAATAAAAGAGAGTTTATATGATAATCATTAAGTTCTATTTCTCGCTGTTTGCGATGGCGTCCTCTCGGGGAGGTTGTAGGCTTAATGAAGCAATGGCTGGTGTCAGTGGTGTAGGTGTTGTAGGATTAAGTTTTGGCTCCCTCACGACATAGTATACCGTAACACTTTCCTTGTCACTAAGTAGTTTACTAGCTTTTGTTTCAAAAGAAAAATTTCGTAACCATTGCACCGTCTTGTCCTCCGAAACCTCTGCAAAGATCGGCAATTGAGCTTCATCCGCTTTTTTGATGACATACTCTAGTAAGTGTCTTCCTACATGGCGTCCCCTTTCTGCTGGTAAAACTCCAATAAAGTAGATAGTAAGGTGTGGCCGCCCTTGCATAACTTGCTTTTTCATCTTGAGAAATCGACGATGATGTACCATGGTTGCTCTCTTTTTGTCAGGAAAAAAAAATAGTGTTATTGGATAGTTGCATAAGCAAAGCATTTAACTTACCAGAGTAGCCATTCCACCCAGCCAACCCCACAGAGTTTTTTTACCTAAAACGTGTCCAATTGACAACGGCTCTGATTCACTATCTGACCAAAGCATCACGCCTTTACATCCATTCAATTGGACAGCACATTCTCTACTCTTGCTTGCTGCAGCACGAATAAGTGCCTTAAAAATGTCTTGATATGCACCTATTCGTTTGTTATCATCCTCTATGGGTCCAGTAATCCAGCTTAATAAATTATTGTTCAAGTAAGATTCACTTAGGGTATATGCGGCCTCCTTATCTGCCTCTATTATATTGATATAAACGATTAAAATCCCGAGGTATATGTATACATATTACATACTTTTGATGACAGGTCGAATACTGATATATGGCTCTTGTGTATCCACAGTGAGTCTTCTACTAATCCTGCTCTTTTGTTTTTCATTTATGTTAAGTTTATTACTAAACGTCATGACATCAATGATAAATAAGAAAGAAAAAAAAAAAGTAGATCCCCCCGCTTTCTGGCTTGTGTTGAAATAAATTTATTATTTCCGAAGTGTTGTTCCCTTTTTGGTCAAACAATAAGGCACACTACACAATGTGTTTCAATCCCACTAAGATTAAATTAGAAACGTATTTTGAGTTTATAAAAGTGTATGCTTACAACCAAAGCATCATCGTTTTTTGGAGCATATTCTTGTTTCTTTGTCTGTTCTTCTGCTAGTTTTTTACTCAGTTTGCCTCCTTTTAGAACACCTCGATTTTCAGCCTATTTAGAATTAGAAACTATACTATAAAGGATATATTTTATTACTTCAGCTTTTCTTTTTTCAGCTGCCAATAGCATGGCTTCTCTTGAACTAGCTCCACTAAGAGTAGATCCACCCAAGGTTTGACCTGCTGGATTCTGTTCCTCAGTAGATTTGAGTTGGTATTCTTCTTTAGTCTGCTTTCTTTGAGTTCCACAGCAATTACCCTAGGACGCAAAAGTTTTTAATTTACTGAAATTAGACACACAAGAGATTTTACCATTTAGAAAAAAGAAAAGGTTAAAAAAGGACATTTGTCTTGGTGTGTTACGAAAGAATTTGACAAATTTATAAAAAATATGGTACCAAGAACGATGGGCTTATTCTTGGGCTTATTTTAAGTACACATTTCCCTTGTCGCGCGCGAGCTCTTTTCCAAGATCAGCAATAAGTGGTTGAGATTGATAGAAAAGGCCTGCTTTGTTAATGAAGACATGAAAGGTACTCTCTGTTTAATATAAACTATCCTTTGTCATAACAACATCGGTGAAGCAGGACTTATCAAGATCTATTGATGAACAAATGGAGAGAGGGGGCTTAAAGTATTTTGCTGTATGGGAAAATAAGGCAAATGGTATGCTATGGTTTATTAAATATGATGTGTATTTACAGTTTTTTTTTCTTCGAGAAGAACACGTATTGAATCTTTAATATGTCTAATCGTTTGCTCTTTATCTTCAATGATTCTTTCGTTCTCTTTGATCACTCGATGACTTTCTTTCAGATCTGTTTCAGTCTTTCTTAATTGCATTTCTAGTTGATGTATGTCTGCATTTGCGCCTCGTAATTCTTCTTGCAGCTCTTTATACTTCTTTTCCATCATTTTTTTATGCTCCATCGCTTTAGATAAATCACGCATGATTATCTCTACATTAGCCTCTAATTGTGAAATACGCTCTGATCGTTCTGCCACAAGTAGTTCTGTATTCTCAAGTCTACGTCGGTCATTTTCAAGCTGCTCATTTTGATCATTTAATTCAGCAATTTTTTCTTCGGTATATACCAACTTTTCATGTAGGATATGTCTTTGGTCCTCAAGTTCTTGTATCTTGTTATTTGCTGTACGAGATTGACGATCAAATTCATCTTGTTTTTCACGAAGAATATTCTCCAGTGTACGCGCTTTGTTTAATGATTCACCATTCTTCTTTTCAGCATCTAATAGCTTGGCCTCAAGCGATCGAACGTCGGCTTCAAGATGATGGATTCTTTGATTAGCTGATTGTTCTCTATGTGATAGGCTTTCCTTTTCCTTAATGAGCACATGCAGGTTATTGACTTGCTTTATGATCTCTTCTTTCCTCTCTTCCAGTTCCTCTTCTGCAAATGTCAGTTTATCCTGCAATGTCTGAATATGATTTTCCAAGTGTCTTATTGTCTGATTTAATGATCGATCCTTTCGTTCCAGTTCATCTTGTTTATTCTTTAACGCTATATTGAGGTCATTGATAGTATATTCATATTCTCGTTGTTTCTCTTCCATCATATGCACGCTACTTGAATAATCTGCCTTCTCTTGCATGGCCTCTTCAACTTTTCTTTCAGCCAGCAGTAGTTTGTTCCTTAAAGATCTGCTATGATCTTCTAATTGTTTAACTTGCTGAGATATAGCATTGTGTTTACGTTCATACTCTTCTTCCTTCTCATGTAATATATCTTCAAATGTCCTTACTTCATTTTTCATTTCCTCTGATTTTCGTTCTGCTAAGTTAAGCTTACCCTGAAGCACTTGTATGCACGTCTCCAGTTCATCAATCCTTTGATTCTTTAAATCATCTGTTTGCTCATATGCCTTTCGTTTCTCTTCCAAAAGGTCCTCCAAGGCGCGCATCTGCTTTGAAGCATCTTCTGTAATTTCTGTAATTCTGGCTTCGCGGTACGCCAAATCCTTTTGTAATTCTTGGTTACGTGTTTCCAACTGCTGAATTTTCTGTGCTGATAAACGGTCCTTGCTTTCGAATTCTTTTCGTTTTTCATACAAAAGACGCTCAAGTGTACCAGTTATGTTTTCTGCATTTTCCTTTGTCTCTTTTAGTTTCTGTTCTAACACATTCACTTTCTCCTGCAAGGCTTTTGCACGAGATCGTAAATGATCATTTTCTTCTTCAGAAAGCCTTTGTTTTTTATCGTGTTCTTCCTGAAGTTCCTGCATAAGTCGTTCAACATCTTCCATGTGTTTTGCTGAATCATTAGCAAGGATCAGCTTCTCCTGAAGATCTTTGATGCGGCTCTGCAATATTTCTAATTCTCGTGTTGCCTCATATTCCTTTCTCTCCAGATTTTCTATTCGATTGGAGCTATTCTCAACCTGCTCTTCCAGTTCCTCTATCCTCCGTGCTGAGTCATACCTCTGATTTTCAATTTCTTCTTCCTTTTCCTTTAGCTTCTCTTCTAGTTCATCTATATGTCGTTCAACATCCTTCATGTGCTTTGTCGAATCATTAGCTAGCTCCAGTGTTTCTTGAAGATCTTTGATGCGATTTTGCAATGTTTCTACTTCTTTTGTTGCTTCGTATTCTCTTCTCTCCAAATCCGCTATCCGATTGGATCCATCTTCAACCTGCTCTTCTAGTTCCTCTATCCTTCGTGTTGAGTCATATCTCTGATTTTCCATCTCTTCTTCCTTTTCCTTTAGCTTCTCTTCTAGTTCATTTATATTTCGCTCAACGTCCTTCATGTGCTTCGTTGAATCATTAGCAAGGCTCAGCTTCTCCTGAAGATCCTTGATACGGCCCCTCAATGTCTCTATTTCTCTTGTTGCTTCGTATTCTCTTCTCTCCAAATCTTCTAGCCGACTAGAGCTATTCTCAACCTGCTCTTCCAGTTTTTCTATTTTTCGTTCTGATTCATATCTCTGGTCTTCGATCGCCTCTTCTCTTTCCTTCAATTTGTCTTCAAGCCTGTGCTTATCTATTTCGAGCTGTCTTATCCTTTCATTGGTAACAGTTTCTATTCCTTTTAGTCTTTCATCTTTCTCCTGTCTGATTCTGTCCAAGTCCATTGATTTATCTTTGAGCGCCTTGTTCAAATATTCAATCTCATCTGCCCGTTTTCTAAGCTTCAACGTAAGACTTGCAACTTCGGTTGATAACTCGGCTTTACTTTTTCCTTGCTCATCCTTTTCTTTCAACACCAACTCAAGCTGCTTCTGTAATTGTGATCGTTGAATATCGATACGGCTTAATTGTTCTCTCATCTTTTCGTTTTCTCTAGATAGATTCATATTTTGTTCTTTTAGAGCGTGTATTTCTTCCCTTGATTTAAGGTCCAAGCTGCTCTGCTTCCGCTTCATATCATTCATCTCGATTTGTAACTTTGCCTTTTCCAATTCAGCCGTATTTAACAACTTTCGAACATGGTCTGCTGATTTCTTTAGTTGCTCCAACTCATCGCGACTTTCTTCCTCGTCTTCTTGATCATAATTTTTGCTATTCGATGCGCCCTTTAGTCTTTCTATTTCGTCTACGAGTGTTTTTATTTGAGTTTTATAATATTTTGATAGTTCTCTCATCTTGTTTTCAAGTTCTGTTTTTTCTAATGACACAGTTGAAGCTCTTCGTTTCCATTCGTTGCCTTGTTCATAAAACTCCTTAACTCTCTCTTCTGCTTCCTTTATCACGTCATCTGCTGTAGCAGTTGATAGAATACTAAGTCTTTCTGCTCTAGGTCGTTTTCTATCCGTGCCTCTCGATGGTGTCATGGCTGATTATTACACAAACGACAGAAAGGGGCAAAAAGTTTAGTATGTTGAATTAATAAAGCAAGTAGATTAGTTACGACTGTTTCTTATAAAGGACGAAAGCCTTGCATTTGGAGAGTTTTGCATCACTTCCTAATGAATAAATAATAATAAAGAAAAGAAAAAAATTTTGAAAAAAAAATAGACCTGAAAATGGCGCGCATGTCTCCTGCAGTAAATAAAAATTAGTATTCTCATGCGACCTTGTTTTATTTCTTTATTTTGCATCAAGGCTCATAACGCCAAACTCAAGAAATACAATACCGTATTTTCAAAAGTGGAGCGCATTTGGTTAAGAAAAATTGTCTCAGCCTCCTCTGTTTATGCTCTAGGGCATTTTGGGAAAACGAGCCTACGACAAACAAGTATAGAAACAATAGCAACAGAAAGCGCTAACCATAATCAAATAATAACACTACGCTCACAGCATGTTTAACAATTTTATAAATAAGCATTGCTTGTAAAGAAGCATAAGTCTCCTTATAAAAAGTTCTTTATTATAATTCTTTGTTCTTAAAACACTCTCACAGAGAGTTGAAAATAAAAGCTCATTGAATAATTACGTGAGATCATCGATCAAACCGTGTACAAACCAAATCAATTAAATAATGGAACAATGGGATATAAGGTTGATGTTATGAATTTACTTCAATGTTATTCTATGAAAAAAGTAGAAGGAAAGATTGCCTTACGCCTTCAAAAGAGTTTATACAACAGTTTCTAAATTTATGCAAACATGTTCAATAGGTGAGTTATCTGTGTAGAAAAAAGCTGGGTGAAGGCCAAAAATAACGAGACAGAAAAAGGACAAGATTTTATTTACAAGTGTGGTGGGCTAAAGGGTCAGTGCACAAGGACGCTTTCTTGGCGCTAGGTTTCCTGTGCTTTCCAAATACACATTTGATAACGTAGGGCAACGATTGGCAGAACAGTCCCTTTTCCGATGGTAAACAGTAGTCTTTGTGAACTGCTGATATAAATATCAAATTATCCAACTGGCCAACCAAGTCAACAAGATCAGACTTCTTCATGGGTATATTGAATGGCGCCAATTCTGTGAATGCGTAGAGTTGTGGAAATGGCAAAGGCATGACATAAAACACGACACGATTTCCAATAGCTTGGAAAGCCAACATTTAGTTCAGATTGAATTTGTCCAAATCATCCTTGTTAAATATTGCTAGACGGTAAAAATCATTTACTAAGGGAGTTGGCGACACCTGGTTGCTTGTTTTGACTTCACCATATCCATTAGTATAGGCTTACTGATATCCAGATGCGTAAATATCAACCTTGCAATCAGGTCGATTGTTCGTATCTTTGTTCTCATCGGCTATAACGTTCGAGCAATGTGGCACAGCTGGTAGTGTTTTTTCGGATAATAGGCCATGCACAAAGGGACGAATGTAACTACCTGTCAAATGTGATTCCGAGAGAGGTTTCATATCACAGTCATACAAGTGAGGTAGCAGAGCAACAATCACATCAAGAACGTGCACTCATCACGGCTTGCACTTTCACAAAGTGACAGTAATTGAATCATTGCATTTCTTTCACTGATATCACCGTTTACAATTTTTGAATGATTGCGTTGGCTTGAATTAAAAGGGAAACACTACATGCACCAGAAGTTGGACTAATTCTAGGCGCGCTACCTCTAAACACTACCTATGATGTTGCCCAGCAAAGCTTTTGAAGGCACGGAGTCAAGCTAAACATGACTTTATAAGTCACTGTATTGGTTTGTTTCTTTTTAGGAGGAAGAAATAAAAGAAATGTTGTTATTGATGTATTTTAAATCTAATCAAGGTTATACAGTCCTGAATTGGGATTAATACATTGAATCTCAGGTTGTGCTTAACATGACTATAATTGATATAATCCTGAAGCATCCACAACACAAGAAAAAAAGTAGAATGGGGTAAGGTTATAAAATATGATCCAAAGATATGGCTTATTTTCACAGAATGGCCCTCTTCTGACTGGATTCGCCAAATCTCAAAAGAATTAGAATTCGTCATATGGTTTCATTTGGAAAAAAGGGAATTACTCCGAAGACGGAAACTGCAAAATCTATGAATAACGTAGATAGCACGGATACTACGGATACTACGGATAACAGATAGTACTTTTGGTCAGAGGAGAGATATCTCTCATTTGGTTCTGGTTTTTGAATTGGCATGTTAATTCTCTCTCTTTTGTTGTTGTTGTTGATGTATCTATCGTTCATAACATATGATTTACTTGCCTAGTTAATAGCGTATAAACCAATTCAATCAATTAACAGGCTTAAATATTGTAAGACATGTGCCTTTTTGATAGGTCGCTTGAATAAATCATCATCTCATTATTGAATCTTATCCTCATTCTGCCCCTCCTGTGGTCCAGGGAGTACTTTAGGTACGATATACAATTAATGATTATCATATAAACTCTCTTTTATTCAATTTGTAATCTATTATTCTGCTCAATATCCTCCTCAAATAAGTTCCTCCATTGATCATCTGGCACAATTGCACCAAACAGCAAAGTCAGGTTTTTACCAAGCTATAGATTTGTTTCCCTGTTATGATTTATAACAAATAATAAAAAGTTATTGTTTACCTTGTCTAATTCGCGTATGATGTCTTCAAGCACTGTAATGTATGCATAGTAAAATAGATAAACATGATCCTTTTCTAGTGCTTGCTTGGATTGGACCACGGGCAGCCCTCGAAGCTTTACAATAAGTGTATCCCAAGCTTTTCTTGCGGGTGGTAAGTAAGGAGGTAAAGGCGTTTTGAGACGCATGGCAGAAGCCAGTATATAAAAATAAAGCAATATGTTGCCTACCATTTCTTTACGTTCTTGGCTTACAGGCATAATAAAATCATGTTGGACCTCTTCAAACCATGCATCCTTTAAGATGACCGTACGTAAAGATGCAAACTTGTCTGTTATGTTTTGGCACGAGGAAAGGATCTGTTTGTACGTTTCCACAGGAAAAGCGCCTTTTAGACGCGGCTCGTTTGGGGTTTGTACCAAGAGATCTTGAAGCTCGAGTAAAGAGCGCTGTAGGTTGAGTTCAGAATCTAAAAACGCAATTGACGTCTGTTGGAGTTGATCCCTAATAGAGATCATTTGAAGAGTAGATACATCAGATGAATGCTTTTCCGAGTAGACTGCGACAAGTTTCTGGTATTGCCATGCAAGGCGCAGCAAAAGGTCGGAGACGCCTTTCCTCAGTTCTACTCTGGCTTCATATGGTGATACATAAGCAGTAACAAACAAGCCAAAGACGACACCAACCAGAATGGAAAAACAACGAGTCAATGCTAGCCAAGTTACCTCCACTTGGTGAGTATCCCTATCATTGTACTTGTTGAGCATAACAAGATTATAAGCCAGCAGGGTGAATTGTCCAAATTTGCCATGCTTATGATGCAATATAAGCCAGAAGTTAGGGATGCAAAAGAGCCAAGTACAAATGATCAATGGAACCATCTTATCAGGGAATATCAAGTAAAGAATCATGGCTGTAAAACAGCCGAGTATGGTTGAGAATATACGGTAAACAGCGACTAAATTAGTCCCACCAACCGTCGGCGTCATCACGACCATAAGCTACATTAAACCCATTTAACAAGACATAATTAAAAAATTAAAAAAAAAAGAATATAGTCATTACTTGCTTACCGTGATCAAGGCCCATTCCATTCGCCACTGACGAAACCAAGGACCAGTTGAGGAAAGAAAGGCAGGTGTAGCTAGTATAGTAGCAGCTATGGTTGCCTTTACAGCATAGCGAAACTTTTGCAATTTGAACAATGAAAAGGTTCTCCAGACACGCAACACCATTTGTCTCCATTTTGTCTTGGGTATAGGCGTATGCAGTGTATCTAGTTTATGACGTTCATTAGGAATGAAGCTCTTACTGATCATTTTTGTATTTTCTTTGTCTACTTAAGGTTAGATCGGGCTCAATTAATAAATAGATACTTACGTTGACCCTTGTGTCTCTTAAAGAGCCATGTAAAGATTAATGATGCGACCGTACGTTTCTTTTCTTTGGCTAAAGAAAGGGCTTGAACGGATTCTACCAGCGATATAAGTTCTCTAGCAAATTCAATCACATTAAACACAAAAAAATAAACCAGAAAGGCGTCTTCTTTGGGAATGTAGCTGCTATCACCATCCGGATGATGAAGACGACGATGACGATTCAACTTTTCAACTGCTTGCTTTTGTGCTACTTCGAAAAGAGCGATAGCCTTTACCAAATTATCCTTTAGTGTTTCATTACTTGGTCCTGTTCGTGGATGATCCGAAAACTCAATTCGAAGATGAACCAAGGTCTGCTTACATGTATAAGCAAGTGATTTGAGAGGTTGACGAATCCTGTGAATAAATTCAGCAAGTGCTCCATCGTGATCTCTGCTACTACTCTGAATATCATCCAGTCTGTCTTTTCTAAATCCGTCCTGCAACTTGCGGCGATGCCTATCTATTTTTATATTCCAGCCGTCATTCTCCTTTTTCCCTGTTTGTTTCATCATCTCAAACTGTAGACCACAACTACTTTTGAGACCGCCGACAGACTGAGCTAGTCTCTGCATGCTCTTGACAACAGCATCATATTCTTTTGTGCACCCTCGCATTTCCGAGTTCCAGAAAACTTCCAACTTGGCTTCCTGAAGCGATTTTTGTAGTGAGGTGAAACTGGATCGATGAGAGTCAATAGCCTTTTGAAGGGATTTGTTTGCTGTAAACTCGGGTAAATCATCATCCAGCAAAAATGTTTTGGTCAATAATTTTAAAAGCACCTTGTACGATACAAGTGTCGCCTCCAAGTCTTTCCTATTTTGAAAAAAAAATGGCTCAATAAAGTGTGTTGCAGAAAAAAAACCATGGTTACCTTAGCTTTTCACTTGCCGATATTGGCCAAAATAAAATACAACAGGATACAGTGATCAAAGTTCCAGTGGCTACGGCAAATGTAATCTGTTCGATCCTCGTAGTGTCAAACTCGCCCTTATTTGCTGATCCTTCTCGTACGACAATAATAAAAATGATAATAAAGCACAAACTTGAGGCTTTGTTTATCAAGAACAAATATTTAGATTACAGCTTTACTTGCGCAAATAAATGTGTTACCCGTTGCAACAGGAGGCTTGTTCCAGTGAGCCTTCAAAAAAGCAATGATCGATGTTGCACCGGCCAACCAGAGACCCAAAGATAGGATGTGAGCAATGAGGGCCATATCGTGGTCATGAAAGTAATCTGTTGTCACCATGGATCCAAGACAGACAGCAACAGCAAATAGAGTGTAACCCCAGCCGTACAGGGCCGCCTCAACCATCCCACCTAGTGATTTAGCAGGATTGAAAAAGACAGTGGCTGTAGCAACAAGATGACTGGATACACGGTTATTCCCGATCAGAGCATTCAAACTTGGTACAAATGTAAATAAACAGCCTAGAATATAAGCAAAGCTACACTTTAAGACGAGTCGTTGCTGAGGCGTTAATTGGGAATGACGTTTGATGAATGTTGCTATGGCATTTTTGTTCTTCTTGCCAGTCGTGTGAGGTATGATTGGCTTATAACCACCCTTTGTTCTGGTCACAGAATATTGATCATGACTGCTATTATTATTATCCGAGGAAACGTCACTTTCCTCATTTGACGTTGATGATTCTTCACTAGCAATTATGCTTGAATAGGATTTCTTTTTTTGATCTTTTAATAAAGGTGTTTCTTGACTTGAAGGGAAAAAAAATTAAATGATGCCCATTGGCTTTATTATTTGTTTACCTTGAAAAAAGATCCTCTTCTTGTTCAGGTAATGTAGATAAAGATACTGTTCTCTTCTGCAGTGTGCCATCATCCAAGACAACATCAATCTCACTATAAACTGAAGGGGATGGTATCGGTAAGGTATATTCAACGTAGGATATTGCATTATCATAATGCCCTTTTGCTGGAAGTGGTATAGGTTTTGCAGCATTACGCGGCAGCTTCTTTGAATCCTCCATGCAGACACACAAAAAAAGAAGGGGAAAGAAAAAAAAAATGATTTTAATGATTTATTATTTGTGCAAGTGGTCATCATCCCCTGATCGTTTTTAATCATGTAACTCAATTTAATCTTCCAAACAATAAACAAAGGTGTGCGTTTGTTTACACACACACAAAGTACTGTTGGGTTCATTCATGTCCTTTTTTTACACGAAATATGTAAATGTGCGTATGTGTACCCTGTTCATTCAGGCTTGTATCTAATTTTGCCTCCCTCTCCTATTTATTATTATCCCGTAATCATTCGCTTATCAAGATAAAAGTTGATGCAATAAGGAAGAAGAAAAAAGGGAGGAGATTGTAATAGCTGTGTAACGAATTTTTGAGCTACTGTTTCATTTCATTTCTCTTATTTTTATTTGAAAGAAACACAATTTGCAATGACATTCATTTAGATTATCAAGCTGACCTTGGTTTTATACTTTTTAGTCTTTATCTTTTTCTCTCTCTGTCCTTAATCAACTTATGAATGATCTTTTTCAAACTAGACATTTTGGGGTCTAATGAGTCTTTTGACCATTGCTTAATATGGTCTAAATCTAACTACTGTTTTCCAGGGGAAAAAACACACATAACCTAAGGATGGCAGAAAGGAGAAACAACTATTTTCTCCCCGATAGGTCGACTTTTAAAGAACTCAACACTATCAAATCTTTATATATTGTTTGTCTGTTGTTATCTGCACCACGCCCCCTGTGTATGAATCAAGCGTGTATATATCCTTGTTCATGTTTCAAACAATGCGGATCATTCGGAAATCACAATGAAAAAGGGAAGTTATTTCTAATTTGAACATAGAGTTTTATGTGGTTGTAAGCTAAGTTCTTTAAGCAGTGTTTATTATGTAATGAAATGTACTATTCTTTTTTTGTCTCTATTTACACATGATTGAAAATATAACTACATATACAAAACTATGCTGGGCAGTAAGGAGCAAGTGCTTCTCCAGCAGCCTTTGGATGTATAAATGAATCAATTGTCACATACAATGTATAGACCATAATGCCAATGCCAAATATCATCAAGAGACAGTCCCAAACCTTGTCAATCGCCTTTTTTGAAACCTTTAAATGAAACAAGCCAGGAAAGATGAAGCAAAGAGGTACACAAGCGACGGAGCCTACCAGAGATACGAATTTGTCAAGGTTTTCCCCACCGACACCAAAAGCGATACCAGCACATACGACGGATATGATCACTCGATACACGTTCTTGGACCATTTCACAAGGATACTATCCCTACCAGATCTACATCTTCCAAAAATACCGTTTTCAATGATCTTCAGAGCAGGGAAAAGCATGAAGGGGGCAGTCAAACAAATGGCCAAAGAATAGAGTAATTCGACAGTAATCGTCAGACGGTGATCTTGTGGGAAGTTGTAAATGACAGCAGCTTGAATCTTGTCTCCATAGGCAAGATAAGACAAGGTTCCGATGAGAACATAGATGACGGTGACAATCATCATACCCAAAGTAAGCACAAATGGAAATTTTTCGGGGCGTTTCATGGATTCAACGATGGGAATGACTATAAAATAATGTTGGTATATTTATGCATTTTGAACAATAAAGACTTACTTAGACCAATGCCTTCAAATGAAAATGTAGCAGTGCCAATCATGAGAGCAAAGTTGTATGGATTAACTGCAGCGATATTGGGACCAATGCCAAAGTTTTTCAACTGGTCCGCCGTGAAATAGATAACGCAAATTAGGCCAAAAAGTATCAGAATATCTGCAAGGATGACTGCAAAAGAAAGTCTAGCGATGTGTCTGACCAATGCACAGGGAATAAGGATGATCAATGGAAACCAAATATAGTACTTTTGTGCGATATTGGCTGTACAATCCGAAAGGACGTTGACCGCATTGACGAGATTACCGGATACAAAGATAAAGTAAGAGCATACAAAGCCAATCTGAGATATCACGATGAAAAACAAGACAATGAAACGAACCCATTGACCATAAAGTATGCCTCCGATATCACCGTAAGATCCACCTACGATCAATTGTGTATTGACCAATCTTTGGAATGCAAATAAACAAATAAGCGCGATTACGACAATAAGCACAATAGAGAGCGCTAGGCCACCGTTTTGAAACCTAATTAAGACGCAGATCAGTTTCTGGTTTCTTTATGTAAGGGATTATATTTCACTTACGCCTTGGGTAAAAACAGTACGCCTGAACCAACAAACGCTTTTAGAAACATAAACATGGCTTTTCCAACAGAAGCCTTTGGGGTATCATCTTCTATTTCTGGCTCTGTCTCGCCAATGCTTGATTCTTCCTGCTTCATGTTCTTGATAGAGGATCGCAGTGATAAAATACTCTTCCTTTTTTCTTCGCTCATGCTAGCCAAACTGACCCTGCTCTGATGAAAGGAGACATCGAATCTCTCACCAGCAAAATTACCGTACAATGAGAGTGAGGAAATGGTTCTTGCCATAGACTTGCGTCTAGCCGGGGATATAAACGAGGTCGCTCTGCTCGATGGCTTAGGTCTTTGTTTGATCTGACCCGTTGTGTTCATTCGAGCCGTTTCCGGACGAGGTATCGCATTTGGCATATCATCATAATTTGCAAAACGAGCATGATGAATAGTTTTTGGTGGGGTTGGAGTCTCTACTGCAGACGAATAGTCCGGTCGAGGATCCTCATAGGACATACTTCTTATTTGAGATAGATCAACCATACCTCTTTGAGGTTGGTTATTTTCGTTTTTTTGAGACATGAAGAATAAATTAGAATAAAGAAAAAGAAGAAAAGAAGAAATGATGGGTCGCTTATTTATACCTTACCTATTGTGATGTTTTTGATTCAGTCTCCCTCAAACTTGACGTAAGGACATTGACCCAGAATAGAATTTGAATTTTTGTGTGACATCTTGAACCCGATTTGGAAGTTTCATAAAATCTATTTAGAAAACACACACACGCAATAAGAGCTTATTTTTCTTACAGCAAAACTCATTGTGGGTTGTGCTTACCACAATTGTCTGTTGCCTCTACTTCGACCTCGATGTAATGGCTCCCCCTTACGATGATAAAGAAGATTGCTTTAAACCCATTCCTTGCCCGCCATTCTCCAAAACACAGGCGAATGTACACATAGAAAGTTGTAAAGAGAACAATAAAAAATTTTTATTTTATGATATTACTGAAAAGCCTATAACCTCTTGTCTTCATTTCGGCAACATACACCGTGGCGCATAGGTGCTATAATGTTAAAATTAGCCAATATTATTTCATAAAAGTGTTGACTTTGAAAAGTCAAGTATGTTATTTGGTAACTTTCATAATTCAATTTCCGTTGCGCCATGGTGATATAGCCATTTGGGTGGCTTTATTAACCTTTATTCATCATAAGCTATACTCCAGAATGCTTTGAGGATTTCTAAAATTTGAGTGAATGGCCTATTCTCAACATCTTTTAATATATTGAGCGTTGAATATATATGGCTAATTAAGAATTCAAATGTTTTTGAATTCGATGTCGTCATTGCTGTCCTTTTTGAGCTCGTCCGGGCGGTCTTTTGTTTATTGTGTTCAATTGGACGCTTAATTAAGAACAGTCCTTGGTGCACTACCACGCGCACAGCCATTGTTTAAAATATGACATCACCTGTGTTTTCAAGGAATAAGCTTGTAAATAGTGATGCTGCCCTTTTATGGAGAGGTGCGCTAGGAGTGCGCGTTTCCTATTGTTGCTATGTAATCCTGTAAGTCTTTATGCCGGTTCAGTTAGTATAAAGATTATCACAGACGTGATAGTTTTCGCAGGAGCGCGAAATTGAAATTATGTAAATACTAGTAAAAAAGAGCTGTGTGTATTCAGAGGTTTGAACATTCCCTTCTTTCGAAATAAAGTGATATAAAACAGCTTTCAAAAAACTATGAATTTATTATTTTATACTAAGTGAATCAGGTGGTGGCTTCTAGAATTAGTCATAAGAATATTAAAAATGCCTATTTATTGTAAAAATGTGCCCTCTAATAATTTCAAAGGCATATATTAGCTTTTCGCGCGCTTCTCATGCACTACTCCATGAGGAGGCAGTGTCATTATTTTGAAATCTGGGAGTGCACAAGGGAGTGCGCCAAAAACCCTCTCCTTGGGCAAACCATACCTACACAACGCTATGCACAACACTGAAGTATAAGAGAATTATGCGTCGATGGGTTTATAATAATCTCTTTATTATGTTGAGAGCTCGTCATTAAAAATAACAGTATTTTACAAGAGTATTATTGTATGAATTAAGGGCCAATGAAAATTGAGTATGACGCGTCTATAAGAATAACGCATTTTGTGATCAGCTTTTTTATATATTTTTCTTCAAGTAACCTTTTACAAGATGGATTGTTTATAAGCTAACTACAACATATATGCTGTTTGCTCTGCAAATTGAATTGCCTATGTCACATATGATGCAAATGTACTGTGCATATGGCAAAACCAGAATTTTTTATTAACTTGCAATTTCTTCCTCTACAGACGTTCCAAGAAAAAAGCAGCGTGTTCTGGCTGCTGATATCCAGTGATACATCAATAGCAAGGACACAATCACACTAAAAATCCTTTGCCGAGAATTTCGGTCTATTAGAAAAACAGCATGCAGTTAGTCGATACATATCAATAATAAACAGCCGACATCTTGCAATGGATCAAGAGTGTTTGCAACCAAAATTGGATATATGGAAGAAATCTGAAAAATATAAGCTGCATTGGATCGAAAGGACGTGAAAAAGAAGCCGACTCGACATTGATTCCGAATACACAGAATATATTCGTGACGCCGCTGAACGAGCAATAAGAGCACTTTCCTCTGCAACTTCTGAACCGTCCACCTCGCACCATGCCATCATCATTCCTACAGCAAATTATACCGCGAGAACAGCCGCTACTATAACAGAAGATGCTGAAAACCTGATCCCACTAACTTCATGGATTTTCAAGGGTGTAGACTATGGCAGAGCTGTTCGCAAAATTCCAGCAAGCTGCCCAACAAATGTTGACCAGCCGTTTGTTCCACATTGACTAATCCGTGCACGGACTTTTGGCCATATCGAACATATTCCTCCTATACCCTGATCAATGCAGCTCGCTATGCATCAATACTCTTACTGGAGATGTTCTTTCCAGCCTTAACAAAGAGCTGTTGAGTGAATACATAGACTTTATTCAGAATATAAATGATGATGCATATATGAAGCTAAGCCGAATAATCGGTAATATGGGATTTAATACACTTTCAAAGGATGACGCCAAGATTAATCTTTTGATACTTGGTAAGAGTATGAATCTATTTGAACAATCTTTGATGTGGAGCATTAAAACTCGGTAAGCTATTGTGTAGAGCACGATAGTGGTGAAAAAAGCCTTGTAATGTTGTTAAAAATTGTCCATTGGCGTTGCGCTTACGGTTAAAAAGACAAATAAAGAGTTGTTTCCTGATTCAACAAGTTATTATAAATATTACTATTTCTAACGCTTTCTTTTCCTCTTTGTATTTCCCCTCTTTTAAAATAAAACCAAACACGGGAAGGACAACAAAGTAGGTTAAAGAGGATGTAATTGTTAGTTCACACATATTAACCATTTAATAAAGCTTGCCAATTATTCTAAAGAGAGCTTATTTTAAATCACTACATTTACTAGAAAATAAATAAAAAAAGTCCAGCTTTCTCATCATGAGAGTAAATCGTATAACGTCGCTTATTGCATAACTTCATATCAACATCCTCACTGTTTCTTTTCATTGACAGTTGGAAGCAATATAGGAATGGAAGGTCTTTCCATGAACATGATTTCATTATTGGACAGACAATTTCTCCACACGACATCAAATTCAAAAACAGCAACCTTACTTGTTGAAATGACTGCAATAATTGCTTGATTAAAGAACTGGAGGAAGAAACCTTGTAAACCTGCATCAACAAGGTTGAAGTATCTTAGGATCTTATTCTTACTTAGTAAAGAGAGACAGAGAGATCGGTTAATCATCAAGTCACTAATATACTTCTCTGTTTGTTTTTACAGATGAAATGAAGCCATCGGGGAGTAACAAGTTTAAACTTATCTCGTGGCCTGACTTTGTCAACTAATACTGTTGCTCTCAGGATAGTGATTGGTTGGTTTGATCTTCAAATAGCCTTTATGTTTGCTGTAGCGAATTCACACTGCTGCCTTTAAAATCGTTCGTGTAATCAAAACTTTTTTGACATGTGTACCACGATATATATAACGTCATTAATGTTACACTAAATGAAGATTGAACCATTCAAGGGGCATGACATAAGTCCCTATTCAATGACTCGAGTAACCTCAATTGGGTTACTCTATTCAAGGAAAGTAGTCTGTCCAAGTCTACACTCATTCCCTCCTTTGTACTTAAGATACATCATTTTCAGAAATTATTCGCGCGCAATTTAAAACCAATAACAATTACACTTTAGTTGATTATCAATCCTTTCTTTATTATTAAAAAGGCAATGAATTCTGTCTTTTTGGGAGAAGAGAAGATAGATGTGGTCAACACCTATGAATAGCACGTAACTGAAAAAGTTGTTGGAGATCTTGTAGTATTATAGATCATAAAATCGAAAACAGTACCGGTGCTAGCTGGGGGTAGCTTGGTCCTTACCAAACTTTGGTCCCATCCACACCCTCTCTCTTGCTCTCTTTTTTGCTCTCCTCTTTGCCCTCTCTCTCTCTTTTTCTCTTCTTTCTCCGGGTTGGTTACCGCCAGCCCAAACCATGATGCACTTCGGATAAGATATTCATCATCTCTTTACATGTTTACTAACGATTCTTGTCTCTGTTTTTCTCTTCTTTATAATGTAAGTATTTAATATCAATGTAAATAGCTGATTTACTAGTCATTTCTTTTTTATCCCATTCTTTTGCTTCTGATGAGCTCTCTTTTATTATTGTTTGTTGTCTCATTTTGTTGTCTGAAATTATCTTTTTTTTATCAGTGTGCGAATAATTTGTGAATAAAGCGTAAGGAATAGCATGTCTTTAAAAGAATAATTCTCCGACTACAACAGCAAAGAGTCCCTCCCCCCCATTCTTGCTCTGAATTTATATTATAGCCAAAGGGAATTTGTATAATAATATCTACTTTTTGTTTCTCTGATCTCGTTGATTTCCTTTTTTATAAATGTATTTGATAATCGTTTTCTTCCTTTATATCGCTTCTATTCAAGCAAAGTTTCATTTCAATAAAAACAAAAGCAAAACTCTCTTTGATCCATCTACAAACTATAGTCAAATCAATGGTTCTTCAATCAACTATCAAATATTTCATAGTTCCAAGTGGAGAGATTATACTGTTCGCTTTGTTCAGCCAGAATTATGCGATGCACAAGTGATACAGGTAAGAAGATATGAACAGTAAAAAAGAAATAATCAATTGTTATCATATATAGTATGCTGGTTACTTTGATCTTGGTAAAGACATTCATTATTACTTTTGGTTTTTTGAAAGTAAAAGCCAACCTTCTTCAAGTCCATTGACTGTCTGGTTAAATGGTGGACCAGGATGTTCAAGCATGATGTAAAAGTGTTGGACCTCCTTTTTTCACTTTACAAATCTTATTCTGTATATAGAGGTCTATGGCAAGAAAATGGGCCTTGTAGAGCATCAGCAGACGGATCAATCGAGCTCAATCCTCATAGCTGGACATTACACTCAAATATGCTTTACCTTGATCAAGTAATATGTCTTCTTTTTTTGCATGCTTATCGCTCACAATTTGGACCTAGCCTGTAGGTGCAGGTTTTTCATACGGGGCTGCTATGAACATTACAGATAATTCACGTCTATTTTATGACGCAGTTCAGTTATTCTATGAAGCATTTCCACAATACAGTACGCTTCCTTTTCATCTTTTTGGTGAATCATTTGCTGGAAGATACATACCTGTTTATGCAGATTACATTGTTAAAAGAAATAGGGAAAATGGAGCATTGAGTGTACCTATTGAATCTGTTGGAATTGGAAATGGCTGGATCAATCCATTAACTCAGTTGTAAGAAGGTAGAGGACGATAAGCACGACAAAGGAAACTCATTTTAAATAGTAAATATGGTTCCACAATGGCCTGTGGATCAGATTGTAAGAGTAACCCTATAGCCTTTAGATGATTCTAATGTTGCTTCTTTTTCGTAGATGGTCCAGTCCTTCCTCCCAATAGTTGCCACAGGATGGATCTGGCGTATAGACAGTGCGCTCAATTTAGTAAGCAGTTGTGACAAAAAAAAGAAGAAAATTTAAACAACATCCTCATAGTTCAAGAATGCTATGAAACAGACGATTCACGTGTATGTTTTCAAGCAGACAATTACTGTACTAGTAACATTGATGGCGTATTTGGGCAATCACATCGAAGTTACTATGATATCAGAAAACCAGAAGGCACTATCGAGCCCCCACAAGACTACATTAGCCTTTTAAATCAAGTGGATGTACAAAAGGCTATTGGAGTAAATCCTATGAGGTTTGAAGAGTGTGCTAATGGCCCTGTAAGTTGTAGCAGTCCACAAGGGCGATCTACTGTTTAAACGGCTTTTTTATTTAGTTTTTTACTATTGCTTCAACGGGAGAAAGGTTAGAGAAGAATCAATGTATAGTTGTGTATCTTGAGCTGACACATATTAGTGCAAGAAATTCAGCTCCTCTTTTGTCCTTTTTGTTAAATAATGGAATCAGAGTATTAAACTATGTGGGAGATGCTGATTATTTATGTAATTGGGTAAGATATATCCATGTAAATACAGAAAACAACACTAAAACACGATATTTCAGTATGGCATTTACGCTCTCACCTTGGAACTTGAGCATAAGGATGCCAAGCTTTTTGATGCCCAAATGCTTAGACCATGGGTATATCAGGGTGTCGAGCTCGGTCAAATACAGTCTATAAACAATTTGGCGTTTATACGCGTTTATGAAGCAGGACATGAGGTCCCGTATTATCAACCAGAAGCTGCATTACTCATTTTCGATAATTGGGTAAACAACAAGGCATTTTGATAGGTCATTGTCTTTATAAAATAGTCTATCTACTCCTTTAATAAAATACAATGTTACAAATTTCGTATATGCAACAAGAAAACTATATACAATATCACTTTCTTAATCTCTTGGGCCCCTTCTTTTTCTTATTCTTTGCAGATGAAGGAACCACCAAGACAGAGTACTCGTCAACTGCCTTCTTGTAGTAATCAACGGCTCTTTCAATGATTTTCTTTTCATTGATACGTTGTGTAAGTGCGTAGTATTTTCTTGAGCCAGAAGGAACCTATTCAAGACATGTCAATCAAAAAAAATTATATAATAATAATTTCCCCATACCTTTTTACGTTCTTCGATTTCTTTCTCAACAGGCTTCCATTCACCATTTTCTTCAGAATAATCCATATATCTAAATTCGGCAAGGGCAAGACATGCTTGGTAAACATTACGTTTGACTTCGACCAATGCCTTTGTCTTTTGGCCTTGACTACTGGCTAATTCTTCAAAGTATGCCAATGCGTTATCGATATCTTCAGTAAATTTCGTAAACTTGGCATCGCTTATAAACATAATATGAAGCAGACACATAAGCTTATCTTCAAAAAGTCCTTCTGAATTGATAAAATAAGGACGAGATCGACCCTTCTCTTCATCTTCTTCACCGCCACAACAGCCACCATCTTCATCATGCTCATGTTCATCTTTTTCATGATCATGATCATGGTCATCACCACTACAGCAACCATCCTCACAATCGTCCTCATAATCATCATGCATATCTTCTGCCTCTTCATCCTCTGTTGGGCATAAAATGTGTTCGTTTTCCAAGAAAAGCTCCCATCTTGGTCGAGTATGTTCAATTGCCAATGCTTCCAATTCGTCTTCCTTTACCTTTGGGTTCTTTGCTTGAAGAAGTTCAGCAGTAACAGCAAGACAGCAATCAACAATAGAATTTTCATCAATTGACACGTAGTCATTCTTGTTGTTATCATAACAGAAGCCATATTTACTTAACAAAGCAACATTAGGAAGGTCGCCATAAGTATTGAAGAGCTCTTCATCTTTCTTAACATCCCGATCAAGAACCATATCGCATGTGTCTTGTTTTTCAGGTTCTTCTTCTTTATCCCAGAAATCAACATTCTGTTGCTCCAACTCTTCCAGATCAGGAAGTTCAGTATCCATTTCTTCTTCTTCTTCTTCTCCATCCTCTGATTCTGCCGCATCGTCCAGTTCATCTTCTTCATCCTCCCATTCATCTTGTTCATCATCATCATGTTCACCTTCAAGGAAGTCGAAATATTCATGTTCACAGTACTCAAGTGCTCCGCAAGCCTCGCATACTTGAAATTCGGTTTGAAAGTGAACATGTTCGCCTTCACCACGGTGATTAAACAGATCAGCAAATGGAACAAGAGCATTTTCATGATAAGCATCGACTTCAAATGCACGAGAAGAGATGAGTGTAGATGCCTTGACAAACTTGTCAAAGGAATAAGGGTCATCACCTTCACGCTTAAATATATAAGGGTATTCATCTAATAAAGGCTCTACTAATTCATGATAATCGTCTTTGAGATCATTCTGTATGCAAGTTGTGAGCATTTTTTTTTCTAGACGTCTTTTTATATTTTACCAAGTCATTGTTTACAGGATCTTCCAGTTCAGTGCCTTTGAACCATGACTTTTCTTCTTCTGTCCAAAACATGGGCAGATCTTCTCCTGTATCAGGAAGTGATTGAAGGTATCCATACCAAGGTGATCCTTCCTTTTGTGCAAGTTCATAAAGTACAGCTAAAGCGAGAGGACAACCTCCTTCTAGATTAGCTTCTTCCAAGATGTTGGCGATACCACAGGTTTTTGTTGATAGGATGCATTCTTTTGGAATCTTTACGACTATATTGCAATACAAAATGAGTTTGTTATTATGTTAAGTACAATACTTGTCCATACCCGTTTCGTCCTTTTTCAAATCTTTCAAGGCGTAAACACCAAAAGAGCCGTTGATCTCTTTGACGATCAATGATTCTTTCTTCCAGTGGACTTTATTGTCATTGAACCATTGTAGTAAAATATCTAATTTACTCGACATTGAGAGGAAATATGAAAAAGTATTTTACTTTCTGTGTGTGTGCAGTCGCGGAAGTAAATCCCTGGCGTAGAAATAAACTTCCTAAGCCACGTGTTACTCCAAGTCTTATAAAGACATGATAGGATATATGGCATCACAGACCAAAAAAGTGAGCTTATGAGTAGCTTATTTTTATTAATGTGTGTTTACGTAAAGATCATTGGGTAGAAAATAGATGTTCGTGTTATCGAATATATGAAGGTCTATAATTATGCATAGTTAATTAAAAACGTCTGTTTATCTATAGCATTCCGTACCTTCCATTTTCTCTCCGTCTTTTCCGTCACCATCTTAGGGAATTTAAGGTCCAAAGGAGAGCTTCTATGATTGGAAGTTCTCTCTGTTCTGTATATACAAGCTGCTTGTTCTCAGTTTAGCTTGTATATAATGGCCTCAAGCCCCGATATGACGATGAAAAAGGCGGAAGCATCTATATTTGTAGCGCTTTGGGCACACAAACATTTTGATTTTGATTTTTCTTGCTGAACAACGCAACCTTCAACTTGCCTCTTGCTAAATTTTTTTGGCAATCCCCCAGCGCCCGCGCGCGCATGTTCCTGTGTCCCCCCATCCCTTCCCTTTATGGCACACTGAAGAGGAGGGGATTTACAGTCAGGCCATATCTTCTCCTGTAGTCCCCTTGTATCCACCTCGCAGGGACCGCGTTAACCACCCCAGCGAGAACACAATGCTGGAAAGGCTGTACATCCATAAAAGAGAGCCCCTCCCAAAGAATTTACCTAGTGTCCACGTCGAGAAAAAGGACTGCTTTGTCTTGATGGAAATGCGTGTCATCATACACGCAGAGCCTGTTTATCTTCATTGTAATGCCAAATATTTCCTGCATGCTTCATAGATCATTGGCTTTTTATATTTTATAAATCGCTCCGCGTGTTTCTTTATCTTGGGGGCGCCAGGCATAGTGAATGTAGTCAGATACTCAAAAGGAGACTTCTAATGATATACAAGTCAGCTAAAGTCCTTTGATTGATTATGCTACCTTACTTTTCCAAAGAAAGGTATCAGCTTCTTTATCTTATCTTTGACTTTTATCTTCTTCACAGCTATAATTTTTTACTTGCAAATAGCAGAACAAAAGAACGAAAAGAAATTTTTCGAACTGAACTATTTATATATACGTAGCTGGCGTAACACAAACAAGGCACTATGCAAGGCTCATTCCCTGGCCATTTTTTTTCGTCTTTGGTAGTATAGTTTACATGCTTTAGGCAGATCTAATATAAATAAGGGAAAAAAAAAGATTCTATCGCATGAGTCTTCTGAAGCATTTATACAGTGAGAAATAAAAAAAAAAGAGAGAAGCATTAATCATAAATGTAGTAGTGTCGTTATGCTTGGGAATAACAATAATCGACGAGTTAGTTTAGTAAATCTACGCTTTGATAATGTCCTTTTCAGAATACCCTGTTTATCCATTTGCTTTTTAGGGATTCAAATCAGTTGGTTGGTAGCACCATAAGGTCGTGTATTGCTTGGCTTTAATCTGAATGTTTACAGTCTATTTGAGTTGTACTATGATATCATTAATAAAAAAGGTTTCACGTGCTTCCTTTTAGCAACCCTTTGGCTCACTTGGCTTGCTTGCAAATGTAAAGGAGTAGAAAAAATTTTGACTTATTATGGCAATTATTTGTAACATTCAAGAAAAAAAAAGAATTGTTGCCCAGAAAAAATGAGAAGGTCGCACCATGACCTCATTTTTGTGTTTCTGTGGCGGAAGACAAAAAAATAAGAAAATGTGTCATGTGATTTGTCAATTATTCTACCCGACTCTTCAAAGAGCCTACGCTTCATATATCATAAAAAAGTCTATTTTGATGCAAAGACTATAGACTGTAATCAAGACAAAAAGTACGCTATCATTTTGTCAATAGTCTCTTAAAGTGAACATTATCAGCAATAGTAGTCTATTTACTATGTATTCAGTATAATACAAGAAGATCAGCATCAATTTGACATTTTTTATATAAAGTAATGTGATACTCTAAGAATTGAAGATCATTGTACAAGACTAACAAAGAAGGTGATCGAAGGAAAGTTTAAATTAGATGATCGAAACTTCTTTTCCTTATTTGTTTTCGTACTCTACGCTTTTCCATTTCGGTCAATAAAGTTTTATAGCTGAAGGTGGATAAAAGAATAAAAGGGGGAAAAAAACAATTTGTCCTAATAAGTTTATCCATATTTCAAACTATTTATCTGTGTTTCTGTCTGTTTCGGTTACTGGTGTAACATTAACTGTACTACAGAACATCAAATTAACTCCTGCTACTGAGCTTTTGGCCGTAAAATCAGATTAAATGGCCATTATGGGCACGTGATGATTTATCATGTATCGCCAGTTCAAGGCGAGAGGAGGTAATAAAGTCCAAAATGACAAAGCATGCCTGTTATAGGCGATTGTATTATAATAAAAAAATTATACACTTTGCAAAACAGGGGTTCTTTTTGCTGCCTCGGAAAATACTAGTAGCAATCGCCGCTATGTTGTTAGAAGCGCTCACCTCCCGCTGCCATAATGCTTTACAGACAAGAGCGCTATGGCCAGCGGTACTATGATGAGGTCAGCAATAGCTTTTCTTTTCTTCAAGTTCTTGTAAGAGATCTCCGTTACGTCGCATCTGTTTCCCTCTATGCTTCATCAGGTCTTAGAATTCTGAAAAAGAAACACAGTGTTCAAACAATTAAAATAATATTTAATGTTGTACTTCATTGCTAGAAATGGAATATTTCGGAATCTATGTCAAGTGTTCCGTGCATAAGAATAACATCATTAAGGTTAATTAAGTGAAAGAATAAAGCTTATGACCCTACATCTTTAACAGTGAAAAAAAATTGCACATATATTCACAACTAATCAGTTTATTAATCAGCCAAGGTAAAGCATTAAACTAAGTTGTAAGATTATTAAACAGTACTGAATCTTATTGCTGATCAGGTAAGTTAGCAGGCTGGAGAGTAGGCGTCTGATAGCCACGAGGCACATTAGGGTGTTCATTACTGGTTTGGGGCGCTCTAGTAGTATCTGGGTGAGGAGAGGCAATGCCTTGATGGCCCATACCAGCAGGTGCTTGGTTTGTGTCTGGTTGATTTCCAGGTTGATAAGGCTGTTGTAGGTGTGTTGGTCTTCCATACCCGCCTTGGCTTGCTCCATGAGCGTGGGGATTGACATTATAAGGAAGGAAGCTATCATAGAACCCATGATCGTCTTTATCATCGTAGTCTGGATCAACACGCTTCTTTCTACCACGTCTGTCTCGGGAACCACCAACGGAACCACAAGAGTAACATGCAGCAGCTAGTAACAGAGATATGACTGCGCCAATAGTGATCCAGAGCAAGTTATTAGCATGCGCATTCCATCCTGCATTTGCACTGATAACCTTGACACCTGAAATGACCACGACTAGAGCCAAAATGAGCGCTGCAAGCATCACAAGAAAGTTGATAAATACTAACGTAGCCATGGAAATACCACAGACACGACGATTTAAGCAACATATGGGGAGACTGGCTAACCAAAGCAGGAAACTTAGACCACATCCAATAAAGAACAAGATAAACATGGCCATAAAGACACCATGAACGGTGCCACTACTTGCTTGGGCTTGTGCCAAACTAGAAATACCTGGAGTAGTTGCCCAATTGAAAGCAGGGGTTGGATGTGCACAGCTGTTCACATTGTCGTTTATGTCCGCCGTACAATAGTTCCTATCGCATGAAGTGTTATATAGACAGAGCAACTGCTTGCATCTTTTCAATTTACCATAGAGCAAAGTTGTATCTCACGTTCTGCCCTGTATTCCAAGCTGCAGCAAAAAACAGATCAGTAAGGAATACTCGTTTGGAAAGTTGTCCGATCAGTATAAAAAGCTCTAAAACGAAGCTAAATAATAAAAATATAGATCCTAAAGCTGTAAACGTAGGGAAACACATTTTTTTTAAAAAAAAAAAGAAAGCAAAGAGCAAATCATGAATACATTATCCTTGCCTTTTTGTTAGGCTAGTCGGAGGGGTGCCTATGGAACCCGATCAATCAAGATCGATGGTAGACAGCAAGTATAAAAGCCAGAGTAAGAAAAAACCCTGGCTCCCTTTTCTTAATGATGTAACAGTTTGATATATGCAGGAGCATTTGAGGCATTCTTTATGGTTATAAATAGACACAGTGAGTTACTAAAGCAAAGCATTTTATAAATAAGAAAGAGAGACTGAATTGTACAAGACAAGTAAACATGCATCTTTAATAAAAACTATTCTATCATTTTAATACAGCTATGAGGGGTTTGCCTGAAACAATAACAGATTACTGCTTTTTATGCCGTCTCTTATGCAACCCCTTGTATCTGTTAATAAATCAACAGCATAAAGAAAGAAATGATTATGAGCACAGCTACGCGCCATAAAATGCCACTAGATTAAATCCAGGAATATTTACACTTCAATGGACTGTATGGTTGTGAAATAGAGAGACAAAGAGATACACTGTTATTTGTCTCTCAAATAAAAAAAGACCAAACATTCGAATTTCACTTGATACACTGTACTTTTATATAGTGCTTTTTCTATACATACACAAGTTGATGTACATGACTTTATTAAAAGATAAACCTCAACTGTAACAGAGAGGAAGTGAACTACTCTTATTGAACTCAGATTCAAGCGGAAAACTAAGTCGCGTGTTATTTGTCTGAACTACGCGTTCAATTTTTCGTGTTTCCTACCTTTTTCACAACTTGTTTATCAATGTACGTTATAAAACGAGGTACAGTTTTTGATATTCAATAATATCTCGTCCCCTGACATATGTTTTGTATTATAGACGGTACTCAAGAAAAAGTTTTCTTTGACAAGATCAGTGCACGCATTAGTATTCTATGTAAGGGACTTGACGAAAACTTTGTTGATCCTCCACAAATTGCTCAAAAGGTAAACATGTCAAAGTTATGCATTGAAAAGAAACTGAAATGCCTATATAGGTTGTTACCAACATGTACCCTGGCATCACAACCGTACAACTCGATGAACTGGCTGCAGAAATAGCTGTTGACATGGCCAAGATTCATCCTGATTATGGAATCCTTGCTGCTCGTATTTCTATTTCTAACCTCCAGAAAGAAACTAACACAAGCTTTCATGAAGCGATCAAATCGTTGTATAACGACAACGTTCACCCCAAGACAGGTGCAGCCAACCCTATTATCACCAAAGAGTTTTTGGACCTCGTGAGCAAGCATGCTGAAAAGATTGATAGTGTTATTGACTATGAACGTGATTTCTACTTTGACTACTTTGGGTTTAAGAGTTTGGAAAAGAATTGTTTGTTAAAGATTGGAACAAAGACGGTAGAACGACCTCAACATATGTTTATGCGTGTGGCTCTTGCTATTCATGGAGAAGACCTTGAGTCTGCATTCAAGGCATACGATTATATGTCTCGTCATTTATATGTTCCTGGTATTACAGCCATGATCAACGCTGGTACGATTTGCGGCCAGCTTTCTAGCTTTTTTGGAGTACAGATGAAGGATGACAGGTAAAAAAAAAAAAATAAAAAAATAAAAAAAAAAAGTGTCATTAAGAAAACACTTTAGCATCGAGGGAATTTACGATACAGTCACTATTTGTGCTCGTATCGCCAAGGTCTTTGGTTCTGTTGGCATGAGTTTCCAAAAGATTCGTGCATCTGGCTCTTATATTGCAGGCACCAATGGAACATCAAACGGTATTATTCCAATGCTTCGTGTATTTAACGATGCTGCACGTTTCATTACTCCTGGATCAAGAAAAGTGAAGAGTACATTTACTGTCTATGTTGAACCTTGGCATGCTGATGTATTCGAGTTTATTGATCTCTCCAGAAGCAATGGTGAAGAAAACTTGCGTGCTCGTAATCTCTTGCTTGGTCTTTGGATTCCTGATCTTTTCATGAAGCGTAAGTGAACTGTGTATGATGTATTTTGTATTGACTCTCACCGTAGGTGTCGAGAACAATGGAGAATGGTCCCTGATGTGTCCTAATGAATGTCCTGGATTATATTCTTCTTATGGTAAAGATTTTGAGGAACTGTATGTTCGTTATGAAAAGGCTGGAAAAGCAAGAAAGACTATATCCGCTCAAAAGCTTTGGTTTGCCATCTTGGATGCTCAGACGGACAGTGGCATGCCATTCTTGTGTTATAAAGGTTAGTATAGAAAAAAAATTTGTAGAGCGTGCATCATAACATGTATATATATAGATACCGTCAATGAAAAAAGCAACCAAAAGAATTTGGGCATCATCACAGGTTCCAGCTTTAATGCCAACACAATGCAGTATGCTGATGGAAATGAAATCGCATCCTGCAACACTGCTTCCATTGTTTTATCTAAATGTGTAGATGTTAACACTCGCGCATTCAATTTTGACACTCTAGCTGACATTGTAAAGGTTGCTGTCAAAAACCTGGACAAGATGATTGATGTGAATCAGCATGTGATGGAAGAGGCCAAGGACAGTGCTTTAAAGCATCGTGCACTCGGATTAGGCGTACAAGGGCTTGCTGATGTTTTCTTGATGATGCAGCATCCATTTGATTCTACAGAAGCCCGTGAACTGAACAAGAAGATCTTTGAACGTATATATTTCGCAGCTCTTGAGGCATCGAATGAATTGGCTCAGAAAGCAGGCCCTTACCCATCTTATGAGGGGTCACCTATCAGTCAGGGTGTTTTGCAGCATGATCTATGGGAAGTCAAAGGTTCTGACGAACTAGATTGGGACAATCTTCGCTCAAAGATCAAAGCACACGGTGTTCGCAATTCTCTCTTGATCGCACCCATGCCTACTCATCAAACTGGCATCTACATGGGTAACAGTGATGGAACCGAGCCTTATCATAGCATGATATACGCACGTCGTGCTCATTCTGGAGAACGACATGTGGTCAATCCTCATTTACTCAAAGATTTACTTGATCGTGGCATCTGGAGTCCCAAGATAAAAGATATGTTATTGAAAGAAAATGGAAGTGTTCAAAAACTGGCTCTGATTCCTGAAGACTTGAAGAAGTTATACAAGACAGCTTGGGAAATCTCTCAACGTGTCATCATCGACTTGGCGGTCGATCGTGCTCCTTTCATCGACCAATCTCAGTCTCTCAATCTGTTTTCTGCTGATCCCAATTACAGCAGGCTCTCATCAATGCACTTTTATGCATGGAAGAAGGGTTTGAAGACAGGTATACAATATTTAAAGACAGATCCTGATGAAGCCGTCAAGATCGTCTTGGGTGAAGAGCCAGCTAAAGATGAGGTTGAACAGGATATAGAAAAGGCCACAGAAAATATGGCTGCTATGGCCTGTTCATTAGATGATCCTGAAGGTTGTGTTAGTTGTAGTGGTTAATAAGGGCCAACGAGTGTTTATTTTTTATATAAATATATAAAGGGATTTACAATTTTATACAAAAACATCTTTAATGTAAAGCAGGACACTTTTGAGCCTCATCAGTGTCCGTCTTGATGTTACCATGTTCATCATATTTCAAAGGGTGGCCAGTTGTCTGTTTATGAATATCACTAGCGCGTCTTGCCAAGTTCTTACGTTCCTCATCTGATCTTGCATAGGAGGATTGTTCCCAAGCATCAAAGATTTGGTTTGCGTTTTGATTTAATTGATCAGTGTTTTGATTGTTGTTGTCTTCCATTTTTATTATGTTTAAAAGAATAAAAAAAGAGATAAAGGAGCCTTTTCTTTTTATATTTATAAAGTTGCATGAATTTTTAATGCAGGGGAGTGAAGAAAGGGCTTTTCCTTATTAATGATAGTATGTAAGCCAATCATATTCCTATTGGTACTTGTTGGTCAATAAGGAATAGATTACGTAAATAAAAGAATGATGATATATATGAATTAATGAATTATTTTGATGATGTCGCCTTCTTTGAGATGCCCATAGGGTCATTTCCATCGAGATCACTCACATGAGATAGTTTATCATCCATTTTCAGAAACACTTCACTGCCACTCTTTACTATCACTGGTGGTTTTAGATATTTCTTTCGATATTCGTCTAATTGATTGAGTGTAATATCAGATCCACCTGTCACCAACACAATAATATCGCTGCCTGGTTCTAATGACGGCAGGATGTCTCGAACAATTTCTGTATAGCATAGTGATAGGGCAGCACCACAAGCAGGTTCCACCAAGGTCTTGTAATCCTCTATCAAAGGTAGTATTAATAATAACCATATGATAATAATGAAATAAATGAAAAAAATTACCTGCAAATTGACGAACAGAATCCGCTGCCATAGGATCACTTACAGCAAATGGAACAACTGGATGTATTAAGCTGAGTTCAAGGGATTTGGCACACACTGTCTCTGACGCCAGGCTGGAGGCAATGGTTGTAATCTTGGGTAATGTGACCAGCTTTCCCGCCACGACAGATGCTTGAAAAGAGTTGCTACCATGTGTCTCGACTGCAATCACAGGGACCTCTTTCCAATCGACTTCTTGTAGACCTGTTATGACACCATTTAATAATCCACCACCACCAACAGGACAAATGATGGCTGCTGGGATATTATCCTGAAGTTGAGCTTTTAGTTCATAAATGATGCTTGAATGGCCCTGCCAGATATCTTCATGATCTGAAGAAGGCACATAAACACTAGTATGAATGAATATACATATGTATATAGGCTTACAAGTGCACACTTTTACATACCAATTCCTTTTCACCAATCTTCTTGCGTGAGAATCTGCGGCAGACCAGCTGTCTCCAAACAATATCAGTTGAGCTCCTTCTAGTTTTACTGAATCACATATCGAAGAGTGTGTTGCTTTTGGTACAACTATTGTCGCTTTAATTTTTAATTGCCTGGCACAATAAGCAACAGCCAAGACCGTGTTTACACCAGATCCACATACCAGCTGTATATCTGTTCCTCTTGTTTCTACAGCTTTATAACAAAAGTTTCCAATGCCTCTAATGACAAGTTCTATAAGTTTCTTTCGCCTACTTCAAAACAATAAAAAGTTACCGCATCTTGACCGAGCCTGAAGGTTGAATGTTTTCCATTTTGAAATATATATTGCTTGATTTGATTGTGTTAGCCAAGATGAAATAAAGTGTTTTGCCTTTAATTACCAATCAAGCTTAACGCTGAGTTTTGTAGAATGCATCAAAGGTGTTGGTACATGTAATGTTTGAAGATCCATAAACATTTGATCGTCATCAGAGGATTCGTCCATTTTGGAAGTCTATTTTTCAAAAAAATAAAAGTAAAAAGAAGGAGAAAAAAGGACGTGTCGCGCGCGCGATGATTCAAATTACAAAAAGCGCGAAAAAGGAAACCTTCTTTTTTTTTTTTCATCAATGCTATTTGAAAGTTTATTGAATGAACTTGGCTGTCAACTTGAACCTGTTGTTGAATTTCGTAAAGAATGAATTAATACAAAGGGAAACAACTGTTTTTGACTTTTTTTTTTAAAAAAAAGAGGTTGAGCGAGTGCTTTTTCGTAGAAATCTTGCAATAAAACTACGCAATCAGTCAGACTTGCTTGATGAATTCTTACAGGACATGCAGACTTACACTGAAGATCCAGCAGTACTTAGAAAATGCTTGCTTCCTTCTACTACAGCAAATCATGTATCAAGAACCAGCCGGTATAAATGATTATATATATATATATATAAAGGAAACTGATAGAATGTTGTTGATCGATGTTAGCACAACTAATTCAGAAAGTTTATTCAAGACGTTATTAGCTGTTGATTCCATTCAGAGTGAACTGATCACATACTTGTTGGAGAGATTACCTGAGTTTTATGACGAATTAGAGAATGAGTAAGAATCTAGGAGAAAGAAAGGCACACATAATGATTATTTCAATATAGCAACTCCAGTTCTTGTACTGCCAGGTTGATATTAAATCAATTGAGATGGCTGGATTATATCGCACAACCTGAAGCATTAACAGAGAAATTGATCGAAGTAAGACTCTATTTTGAATCATATGAGCTGGGGCTAATATGAAGGCATATCAAAAGATTATACAGATCACACCTTCCGTTGTTCAGCATGAAATCATCACATCCTTACCAGATATCATCAATGACTCAGAACATAAGGTGCACCTATCTCTTTTTCAATTATAACTAAACATTGATGTATATGTATAGCCTATTGTTGTCTATCTGAAGGAATTGATGAATGAGAATTCGGAATTGACAGTTCCTATATTGGACGCACTATCCAATTTGACACTTCATTCCGAAAGCTTGGATGATGTTAAAGAAACAGTACTTGACAGGCTCGAATCTGCAGAACTAGACGATATTGCGGTTATACTCAAATTCATGCTTCAAACAGTAACACCCAACACAGTTGATATGGTCATCTTGGGCATTCGACAAAAGTTGGACTTTAGAACATTAGGAAAGATCCAGCAGGAGAGTTCACAGAGACGGACAAAGCAGAGCCTCAGCCAACGACCGAATGTGAAGGATACCCCAGAAGCTCTCATTTTGGAATCTATCAAGCTTGGTTTACAATTTCACAAGTTTGTATGCGAATCTTGGTTTCGAACAATTATGGCGCTTGAAACAGCGGTAAGTGTCATGCAAAAGGGAAACCATAACTACTAATTGCCAACTATATATACATATGTATAGCGTGCCCATAAGATCATTGATGTTCTCATACTTTTTATCTTGTACTCTATGCCTTCCATGAAGAAAAAAGCTGAATCAGCCATAAAAAAGAAGATTGTCCAAGGACTGATTACGGCACCCTTGTTGGAAGAAACAATCATGTACCATTCAAGTGGATTAGCCAGCTATTGGAACGCGATTCTATCCTTGTCTGAAAGTTTATTAAGATCATGCCAGCAAAACGGCATAATCTCTCCATGCGCAAGCACGCTCTATATAAGCTCTTTTAAAGTATGCGATTCATATTACCGACAGGAAATCATCGGTTCCCTTGTCACTCATATCGGTAGTGGCGTTGAGGCGGAAATGAGCATTGCACTGAACGTTCTGTTGCACCTGGCAAAATCAGATGTTTCAAGTGTCACTGTCTATAGTGTTTTCATCAAGGGCATCTTAGATTATTTAGACAACCTAAGCTTGTATCAAATCCGTATATTGTTTGACGTATTCAGTTTAGTCGCCTTGACAGTAAGTTTTATGATGACCATTACCACAAGCGTAATAATTGTCATATTAGAGCAACAATACTGCTGATGGTTCTGGAAATTTGTGGGCAGATATTCAAATTGTCATTAGAAAGCAGTTATCAAATCCTAGAGAAAAGTATAAAAACATTGGTATCATTGCCAGTCTATCAGCAGTACGTATCTTGGGCTCTCGTGAGAGATGTAGCGAGATACAAAGTCAACAAGGAGGATCAAGCTCTCAGTCAGGCAAGCTATCAGCTACAAGACACCCACTTCTTCGACAGTCCATAAATATATTAGATAGCCTCATGCGAAATTGCAATGGATACCCAGTAAGTTATACGTGTATATGTATGTCATATTTTATAAACATATTTAAAACAGACATGTATATCTTTATGTTATGATGAGCTGGCTCATATATTTAGCGAAGGCGAATTGGATGAGAGATTAGAAGAATGGATCAAAGTCAACCTGACCTCAGATTTTACGGAATATTACCTTTCTACCGTTGAAGACACTTTACAATATATCGGTGACATCAAAAAAGTGTCAACAAATAGATTATTACCATCACTTCAGATGAATGCTGATGAAGAGGTAAAATATAGTCCTTTATTGAAGCTAATAGACTTACTCTGTTCTAGGATGGTGTTGATATTGTTGTAAAGTTTTATGAATTGATAGCAAGAAAGGACACGAAATCCAAAAAGAGCCTCGTTGTGCCCATGTGCTCAACGTTTAATCTGATGCAAATCTGTGAAAAACAGCTGAATAATGGTAGTCTGGAAGGAATCAATGCTCTTTCGGGATGTAGTATACTCCTATTTGAATCTGACGATCTAGATGAACTCTCTCCTGAGGAACTCTTTGATGCTTGTGATATACTATTTTATACAATCAACTGGTAAATGCCTTACTATAGTCAACTTAGGTGTTTAACATTGGGTTATTTTCTATAGGTTTAGGGAAGTTTTGAATTCATTTGTTGAAGCCAAAGATGAAGATCTCTCTCAGACATTGATTGCTCGACTCCGACACATGCTCGAACTTGAATCGAGGCTTAATAACTGTCTGAAGTATGCACCCACATATGTTCCCTTGGAATTTCACAACACACTTTCCATATCACCAAAAAACGAATCTTCTCGGTCATCGCAGATTATAAGTAATACACAAGCAAATGAGTCTCAGCAGACAGAGAACTTTTCAAGGACAAATATCAAAAAAGAAACCAGACCATCCAACATCAGTTTTGGTTCTATTTCAGAGCTACGACCATATATGAGAGCATTCAATGTAAGCTAGTACAGGAAAAAAAAGTATACGATAATCAAACATTTTCTAGTTATCTGTGTTTGAGATCTTTAAGCATAATACTAACCAAATTAGAATGACAGTAAGTAAACAACACAAATAAACAATGCCAAAAGTAACACAATACTATATAGTATGCAGAGACAAGTTATATGCTAGAAGACCTCAACAACAAGTTGGATATCAAGATAGTCCCTGCCCCTGTGTCTACGTTTGGTAGGAAAAAGGTTACAAGCGAAAGCAAGTATCCTTCAAGCAATAGTTTACTATTAGCAAGGATTGACGAGCATCAGTTTATGAAAAAGGTAGATGATAGATATACAATTCAAGCATCTCAAAGTTAAATACGTATGGATTTTATAGGTAGTCCCATCCTTGCCATACATATTGCAAACATTAGAAGACTTGTATGCGGACATACAACAGCAGGTAAACTTAAAAGATGTTCAATTCAATAGTAATCTCACTTTTTTTCTTTTTATAGGGCATTGATTCTGGAAGAATTAGAGTAAAGATATACTTTTACATGTTGACTTTTACTAAGCTTTGTTTATATATTGAACTAGGGGGCTGAAGAGATCGCTAAAGCAATTTCTCTCATCTTGAACGTTATTTTTAAAATGCTATCTTGGTCTTATATCCAAAGTTCAGGCAACAAGGGCATTTTAGAGGTTTGCTTAAAAAATATAAGATAGATAATATATCTAATTGATGAGTAGACAATCATACAAGCATTAGCAGAAAGAATTTCTGGTGAATCCAAGCAAAAGGGATCTTCTCCTGAGGTGCAACTTCGACAAGCATTTCAATATTTATGTCATTATGGAGCAAATATGCCTCAGTCTACTACCGCTGTTTTACTGTTTAAAATATTGCTGCGTATTATGGAACTCTCTGATAATCCTTTGAGCTTAAAGCAAGGTGCCTTAAGTGTTGTTAACCAAATAGTCTCAACCTCATGGTTTGATTGGCGTGAGATCAAGGTATTGCTTATAGAAAAGAGAAGCAGGAAAAAGTCGACTGATTACTTTTCATAGAAAGAAATAGAGTTTTTGATTGAAAAGACAATTGAATTGGATGATGATCCTCTTCAAGTGCTTCATAATCTAGTGAATGATGTTTTACCAAGATATGAAGATCAAGGACCATTGGAGGATCACCCACTGCTTAAATCTGATACTGTTGTTCAATATTACCAGGTAAATGATATACATATTATATAATAAAAGCTAACAAAATGCAACCTTTGAAAGGCTATTATCAGTCAAATAGTCAATTCATTTGAGCTGTTCAAGGGCACTGATCAAGAGCCTGAGATTGTTTTAGTTCAAAATGGCCGTATTGTCAAGATCTTTGAACGCATTACACACTATGTCAAAGTGAAAGAGCATCGTCTGTTAATTGGTGTCTTGTTAAAGACAGGCAAGCTCTTTATCGATCAATTCACAAAACATTCGATACCTTATTTCACAGAGATATTTAAAGCTCACAAGACTAGTATTCTAGCTATTTTTAAGGATTTACAAGCAAGCACTCGTGTGTTACAGGTAAGATAGTCTTGATTGTCCATAAGCGCATTATTTATTTCGTTTAGATTATATGCTCTCACGTCAAAGTTCTTAAAGATGTCTCACTTTCTGCTTATGTGCCTCCTTTGAAAAGATCGCTTGAAAACATCATTTACCAGGTTAAAATGCTAGTAACCAGAAATGGTATCCCAGCACCAGCTTTTTTCATGGGTGCATTGAAACATCGTGATATCACAGGTGCAGAAATCTCGTCTCAGGTAAGAGTCTATCATGTGTTGATTATAGATAACAAATAGTGTCTTTTTGTAGATTCCTCGAGAGGAGGATTATGATGAAATTGAAAACAGCGGGAGCATTGCTTCTGAATCAGAAGATGCTGCAGATTCCATAGATAACGAAAGCATGAGTGATGTTCAAAGTGGAAATAGTGAAGCTGTCCAACGCAAAGCGAATAAACGAAAGAGGATACCATCTAAACCTGCATCTAGAAAGAAACAAAAGCCACCAAGCTCAGGTTCTGCTCAGATTTATCGTACAAGCAGTCAGATTCCTTCTGACGAAGACGAAGACGAAGAAGAAGAAAAGATTATTTCAAATTTTGCGAATGTAATTGCTAGTGAAGATGAAGAAGAGGAAAAAGAAGCAGAGGAAGCAGAGGAAGCAGAAGATAAAGTCTTGGAATTTGATTTGAATTCGGCAAATACAGAAGAAGAAGAAGAAGAAGAAGAAGAAGAAATGCCCAAGTCAATAACGCTCCCAGTAAGCTCAGAGCAAGCTACAAAGAAACGATTAGGCCTTGGTCATTTGGGACCTAGTAGAAAGAAAAAGATATTTGATTTAACTAATTGAATCACTCTTAATAATTCCAGCAATCTTGAACGAACCGCCTTCCTTAACTGCATTGTATTCAGCTATATTTTATTAGCCTGTATGTGCTTTCAAATAAAGTAAATGGACCTATATGGTTCTACTTTGCAATGATGAATATCGACATAATGATAGGCATTAAATTTTCATTAAGGTTTATTGAATCTCTTTTTCTTGTTATTTTTCTATTGTTATATTTCCATACAAGTCTTTTATACATTTTATCCTTTTGACATTTGTGTATTTATGTATTTCTATTTCATTGTTATAAAAATCTCTTTCTCATTGCCCAGTAGATCGCATATTTGATAATACTTCTCATTCATGATACGTGAATATCCATGTCATTAAGAGACTCTCTGAAGCATGTTGCGTACCTTAGCGGCGTACTCTGTTTCGATCGTCATTTGAAATAGTTTATGCAGACTTAGAAGTGGCGTTGCTTTACTATAAAAATGAACATATAGTCATTAAATCTATCATAATCATAATCGTCACTAATGTTGGTCTATATTTCACAAGTAGAAGGGAGGAAAAGGATATAACAACAGGGGGTTAGAGGATAAATATTTTTCCTTTTTTCATGTACATTAAAAATAAAAATAAAAAACATTATGCATTCTTATGTTTTCCTAAGCTAGCAACTCAATCACACATGTTTCATGCTTAATATCAGGTTTTAATACATAAAGGTTAGGACGACTTGATTTTGGTTCTTTTAGCAAAAAATAATAATTCATTGTTTTATGAAACAAGACAGAGTGGCTAACCCAATAGATCAATTATGATTGACAAATAACAACTGTAATGGAATCAATTGCGTATACTTCACAGAATCTGCAGTCTAGTGCTCTTTGGGAATAGCCTTATTTTTTTGTTACTATCAGCTGCATTTTTAAAGATACCATCCCCCTCTCAGCTCTTTTCCTTGTACATTTAATTCTCACCTTACTTTTTTTTTGTACTCATTCTTAAAGAAAACGACCAGAAAAATAGAAAATCGCGAATTGGAAATGAGAAAAGTGAATTAACCATAATGAAATATATATATGTATATATATATATGCATGTGCATGAGTTCAGCTTTATGTAAACAAGCGGCCTTACAAAAGAAAGGGACCGTGAAAAAAATATGCAAAAAAGGAGGTAGGCGTTCGGGTGCTCGAATGTGTTCTAATATGGAAGAGATAGAGAATAAGCTGTTTATTTATTCATACATTATTGGAAAAAGCGGGAATGAGTCATTTATTTTCAGCTTAAATAACATGATTCACGTAAATAAAAAACTATAAAAGACCACCATTCTTGTCCTTTTTTCTTTTTTTCTTCATTTTTTATCTTTTTTAAATATTCTCCTATGCTTTTATTATTCCATATGTTGAAAAGGTATAACAGCGTTTGGGTGATCTCAAAGGACATATAACTAATGCCACCGTTTAGAAATTCACTTTTGCTGGCTCTATTTCATGGCTCCTGATGCATCTTACTCTATCATTATGACCTCTCACGGGACGAAGTCGTAAAAAAATCTCTACTACTCGCTAATACTCAAAAAATGCTTGCTACTGCTTATCAATACACTCAAACAATCAAACAATCAAACAGATACTCAAATACCTACGTATGCTTATCAATACCTACAGATAATCATCAGTGCCTGAAAATGCTAGTGAATGCCTGTCCCATGCTTATCAACGTCCGAAAATTCCTAAAGAATTTTACTTATGTCTATCAATATCTGCTACTAATGGATACTGTTCTGGAGTAACTGCATATTCAAGTCTTGAAGTCACAAGAAATATAATCAATCAACATACTTTGCCACTATCTACCAAACTCTATCAAGCTCTGCTATAGGTCACTGCTTCACTACGCTGGATCACTCCGAGATGCTTCTATTGTTATGGCTCTGCCTCTACAGCTGATGAATGGTCCGTAAACTCTCCCTTACTGCTGAGCTCGATGGTTGCGATGCTCCAAAGGTTCAATATTCCGATGTCTCCACGGTCATTATCCCTTTCGTAATGCTTCGTCCTAGGTACTTAGAAGTGCACTCTTTGTACGTTGAAGCACCACCTTCGTTGAATTTATCATGGTATGGTTTTGAGATTGATTTTTGAGCCTTGAGTCTTGAGTGCTTTTTATTCATGGAGGGTTTACACCGTGTAGTCTTTTGGTATACAGTCTATGGTTGTAATCACCTTGGATTTGAAAGCTGGCGATAATATAGCCTTCTGGACTTATGGAAAGAAAAAAAGAAGAAATCTCTATTTGCTTTCTAAACTTGGCTATCAAAAGAAAAATCTCTACTTATTCAAAACATTCTCTCTCTCTGCTTCTAAAATGGCTTGGAAATCAAGCCATTGCTTACTTAAATAAAAACTTCATTTTGTTACTCCCACACTTTGACTTTGTGTTCTTCAATATTTAATATGTTACTTCATATTCATTCAGTGTACCTTTGTTTCTTTCTGTCGTATTCTACGTTGAGTAGGGATCAATAAGCAGTGTCTACAAATCAGCAGTAAATGGCTTAGTAACGTAAACTGGCCAATCACGATAATAATTACAATGTTATAAGTGTATCATTTTTAATAGCTTCATCTTTTTCTCTTCTAAATGAAAGAAACATAAAGTATCCCATTGTACTTTATGTTTGCTCTCGCTACTACTACAACAACCACGACAACTACAAACACAACACTGCTAAATCTACAAAGTGTTCTTATAAAGCTTCTATAAAGAAACAACTCTTTGCTGATGCTACTATCCTCCATGAGCGCTATGTCAACGAAGAACCATTCACAGTATGTCGAAGAACAAGTTCCAAAATAATACCATACTTCTTGAAAATGGCAGTGAGTTTAGGCTGCAATACCTCAGCTGTTTCAAATGGGATGCTCGAAATACCGACACGATAGGTGAGCGTTTGAGCCCAAGACCGATACTGAAACAGGACGGTTATGAGGATTATGACGAGAATATGCAGCACTTGACCCCCGGAGGGGCGCTATTGAACTACGCTAATATTATGTTTCTGGCTATTAGCAGAAAGAACCATGGTCTCTTTAAACAATCTGAAAAATACCAGCCAGATTTTATAAAGTGTAAACGCAGATCCAATAAAATCAAGTTGAAATAAAAGGCCTATTTCTCTCTTTTTAATGTAAACGATATGTCGTTACACAATCCACTTGCTTCACTTGAACAACTTGAGACAACCGTGTCAAGAAAAGACGGTATTCCTGAGGATCTGGAAGAAGATCTTCGAAATTATGGAGCAGAACTTATTCAAAGTGCAGGCATTTTATTGAAATTGTAAGAAAGAAGAAGAAATCAACAATCAATCTAAATCTTTTTTCCTGGTAGACCACAAGTAGCAATGGCCACTGCTCAAGTACTCTTTCAACGATTTTTTTATATGGCCAGTTTAAAAAACTTTGGTATTGTTGTAAGTCAAGGTATATACGTGTATATATGTAATATGATACTAGAAAGGACAATCTATAGGAAATTGGAATGGGTGCATTGTTTCTTTCTTCAAAACTTGAGGAATGCGTCGTTAGAATGACATACTTGATCACAGTTTATGACATGCTTATACGTCGAGCGCGAAATGAATCAACAGAAATACCATTAGATGCATTTTCGCAGGTAACAAAAATAATATTGGATACTTTGATAAACTAACAACGCATGGGGTTGTGTGAATGTAGCGTGGATATGAATTGAAGAATATGGTTATTGCAGCAGAGATGCAAATCCTGCGAAGGCTTGGGTTCAATGTGCATGTACAACTACCTTATAATCTCATGGTGAACTATTTGAGAATACTAGGATTAGAAGATGATGAAAGGGTGGCCAAAAGAGCATGGAACTATTTGAATGATGGGTAAGACAGCTAAGAATAACATGTGTAAATTATTGATCATCAAGATACATATAGTCTAAGAACGAATATATATGCCACCCATGAACCACCAACGATTGCCTGTGCATGTATTTGGCTAGCATGTAGAGATGAGCAGATCAAATTACCTTGTACGGTTGGACAAGAGTGGTGGTTATTGTTTGACGTAGACTTTATCAATTTTAAGAATGTAGCAGGACACATCAAGAGACTTTATTATAGAAAATTAGACAAGCCTAATTTACCCATTTATAAAGAAGAAGTTGAAAAATGGTTAAATAAAAGGAGGGGGAAATCACGTATGAGTTATTAAAGGGATAGTTAACTTTGCTCTGTAAATAGAGATCCTATTTCTAGTTTCTGCCCCGTTTATAGAATTCATCATCATATCTTCTGTCCTTGCTGTTTCACAGGTTATGAATGTTTGCCATGAACTTCGCTGTGAGGTGTCATTTTCTAATTCCCTTTTAATCGAGTTATGAGATGCGACTAGTGTATTTATTGCACTTGATAACTCTGTTGCTGAATTACTGCTATTATTAGCTTTATTTTCATTGTTATTATCCTTTTCTGATTTATTATTGTCATACATTTGTTGATATTCATTGTTTGTTTGTTTTGTAAGAGCAAGTTCTGGAAGATATGCCATTATCCTTTGTTCTTCATCTCCTTCATCAGACGAGCCCTTTTTGTTGTCACCGAAGGCTGTTCTTTTTTTACGTACGACAAGAAACATTGCAGCAGCAATAAAAGCAGTACCGCTGACGAGACCAACAATGAGGATAACCATCTGAATAGGTGTAGTTGTCACTGGAAAATCAGCTTTGGTTAAGCTATTTTGACCAATACCTGGGTCAAATTGGGACGCAACGGCAGTAACAGAAGGAATATAAAATATATCACTCGCACCAATGGTCGCTGTAGGGACAGATGAGTATGTAGGTGAAAATGAACAGCATGCTTGTGGTGTGACTGAAGGGGAAATTAAAGAGATGGATGTGTAGTCATATGAAGAAGTGTATACAGGTTTTTTGTGTAGACCTGATGATGTGTGTCTTGATATCTCCATTTTACGATGTCTGGTAAAAGAAGAATGCCGACTTATCGGCTTCTGCTTCTTCTTTTGTCCTTTGTGATGTTTGTTATTATTATGACTGACAACTTTCTTATGGTGAGACATGATCAATAGAAAAAGAAAAAGAAAAGAAAAATTGTCAGAACAATGAAGTCAGTAACGCATACACAAGTGGATAATAAGCTTGCTCATTTTGATCCCTGAGTCTATCCGGAAAGGGGGGAGGGATAGGGGGGAGTTCATTTGTTACAGTGTGGGTGAGTTTCCAGGGCAAGTTAGACTGGAATGTGTATGCTCGTGGATTTGATTGGGTAACAATTTTAGCAATCCATTGTAGACTAAATGCACCCCAATTTACTATAAAAAAATTTAAGCAGTAACTATAGAGTATTTTTAGTTTGCAGACCTCTCATTAACAATGACTCGCCCAGATCGACGAACAGAAAATACGCAATTAAGAGCTTTTTCAGCAACTCAAAATGTTCTTCATAGAGCTGATGGATCTGCGAGATTTGACCTTGGTACAAACAAGAGAGAAAAAGAAATAGAGATTATAGATTTTAACTTTTTCTAAATCAAAAAAGGAGCAACATCCGTCATTTGCTCCGTGTCTGGTCCAATGGAGGTACAGTTACGCGATGAAAAACTAGACGAAGCGACGGTTGAGGTTGTTGTTCGACCCTCTAGCGGAATTGCATCTACAAAAGAAAAACTGATTGAGAATACACTACGCACTACCTTTGAACCCATCATCTTGGGTGGTATGATGCCTCGCACCCTTGTTCAGATCGTTGTTCAAATCATAAAAGATGACGGATCAGTCATAGCTGCAGCTGTTAATGCCATAGCCCTTGCTTTGTTGGATGCAGGGATCCCACTAAAGTACATGGCAGCGTCAGTTACTTGTATGATTGATAAGACAAACAATATCATACTGGATCCAACAGCTGCTGAATTGGAAGTAAGGATGACCTCTCTAGTGATATACTAGGCAGAGGATATAGAGTAGCTGATTCTTTATATTTATATTAGAATGCTAAATCTGTTCACACGTTTGCCTTTGACAATACCCCCAGAACGACTACTGTGCTATTATCGGATTCTAGCGGAGTGTTTAGTGAAGAAGAGGTAATGATGATACATGTATGCCTTGAATGTCTATACTAATAGTTTGACAAGTACATTGAATGTTATGATTTATGTCATCAAGCAGTAGGACAGGTGCATTCATTTATACGAGCTGCAGTTGAAGCAAAAAAGCAAAAAGAGCATCAACAGCAGTAACCAATGTAAATAATAAATTTTATTGCTGATCGGCAGAAGCCAACTGTTCATCTACAGTACTATGCAAAAATTTAGTAAAAACCAAAGCTTTTTTTTTTTGGATCAAGTAAAATTATCAGACATCTTCTTTGCCTGTAACAACCTTTATCCCAAAAGGGAAATCATGTTCATTACAGCGATTTTAAAAAACATTTAATTTCTTCTATACTTGGAAAGTCAGCCTCTTCCATCTCAAATCGAAAGAGAAATGGACAGCATACACTTGCAAGCGTTGATATCTCGTTGTCATAATGCCTTGCAGGTATTACAAACCAGGACACTACAGCCTTTCAATTCAGACATTCTTGCAAGAGGATCGTTACTACAAGCATTGCAAACTTTGAAACCTTGTATTCATCAATTGTAACGGCGATGAGATCTCCAACTGCTTCTCTTCTTTTTAACGCTCGCCAAAAGACACCAGTAACACCGCACCTGTTTTCCTTCAGCTTTATCAAGTTTTTTCCAAACATCCCCGCACCAAAGACTACGAGGGACACTTTCTCTCTTTCAATTTGGAACTTTGCGGGCTTTCACTTTTGGCTTCTTTAAAACAATAATTGGATAAGGCTTGATTATCAAAGGTAAAATTGATTACATACATGTTTTTGGCAGCTTGGTTCTTTTTTTCTTTTGTATTTGCCGTCAGTTTTTATTTCTTCTTGCTTCTTTTTTTCTTCCTTTTCTTTTTATTATACTTGGTACATCCATGAACAAGCAATGGGGGGTGATAATTTGGAGCTGCTTTCATGCAAATGGCTTTGGCCCTTTGGTCTCGGTTGACGGCACAGTTGATCAAGACAAATATATAAATATTTTAGCCCAAAGCTTTCATCCTGGATCGCACGACTCTGCTAGAAAGTGGATAGGGACTCTATATTCCAAGAGGATGGAGCTAGCTTCCACAATTGGCGGTTATGTTCAATGACGGAAGGAAGCCCACCAGAACAGGGGTTTTAAGTACTGACCTGTGCAAAGCCCTGATTTGAGCCCAATAGAGTATGTTTGGGCTACTTTGGGAAATCTTATCAAGGAAAGGAGATATGAGATAAGAAGCACTGAAGAGCTGAGTGTTTTGTTGAGAAAAGAGTGGAAGAAAATAAGCCCTGGGCTAGCGGCATGTCTGGTCGGAAGCATAAAGGCTCGATGTGAGGCGGTAATTGCCGAAAAAAAGAGGGTCGACAAAGTACTGACTTTTCTTTTTATTTTATACTCTTCAAATAAACATGTCAAAATTTATTCTTTATAAACATGGAATTTCCAAGCATTTGACGCATAATTTGCGGAAGATTAATTTACATTTTCGTACGAAATCCAATTGTGTGTTCATCTATTACTAATCTGCCTTTACGCTTTTCATCATGCCTTCCTAATGTCCAAACCTGAGCATATCGTTTGATCTTTAATGACTTGGGGTTCTTTAGAACATAAAACTCTCCATCACACATGATGCAAATAACATTTCTTTTCTTATACTTGTTATCAAACCACTTTGTAGATTTTTCAGTATCGGACTTGCGTCTAAATATGATCTCGAATGATTCTCCAAATTGACCAATCCGACGTACATTTTCGCGTATGTTGGCAAGTTCTTTAATGTAGCTTGTCATATTTTCAATAGCCATCATCTCCAGCTTACCATCATTGGCTAATTGTGGTGACCAGTTATTCGGATCTGTGAAACCTCTACGATTTTCAACAACGTCTAACCCATTTTTGGTATTACCCCATAAATCAACTTCACGGCCCCTGAGTTGAAGGGGAAAAGGTTAGTTATGCACTATTTGCCTATGCTATTTTCTTACCAAATGTGTGGTATATTTTGTATAACAAGATCAATGGGGTGCTTTATCATTTTTGGTATATTGCCTGATTCATCATCACTTTGCTTATCAGGATCATCACATAATAGTACAGTCTCGTTATTATTCACAACCTTTGCGATGAAACTTGTTACAGAAGGAAACCTTCTCCAAAAAACCCACTTGGCGCTCTCAATAGTGTATACCAATATATTGGCCAATCTATTACCAGCCCTATGTCTTTCAAACCCACTTCCGACATAGCCTTGAACACCAATTGACATGTAATTGGACATTTTGCGTGTTAGATGCGGCACTTGCTCATTATTTTGCTGTGAGATCTCTAATACATCATGTCCATCTTTTCTTTTGGGCCCTGCTAAGCGGACATAACCGTCTGAATAGGCAGACATCTCGATCTCCCATATATCAAGACGTGCTGCTTCAGAACTTTGTAATCTTTCTGTTATTAGCTGCTCAAGGTGCGATAGTCTTTTTCCTAATATATCTACATGTGGAATTGTTCTGCCCCATCCCAATACTTGACTAAAATCGTTTCCTGTGCCAAAGGGTATGCCTAGGATTTAATTTCTTTTAGTGCAATGCCTTTTATCGAGCCTTATATGTATACCCTCTCTTCTTACATGAAAAGAAAAGTGAATCCAAATCGACATGATTGCTCACCAACAGCTCAAATACACTCATGACCGTTCCATCGCCACCAGCACTCCAAACGTGAATATGACGTGTTCTTACTGTTTCACCAATCTTGTATTCTGTCTCTTGCTGATGACTGTCTAGTGACGGCAATTGACCAGCCTTGGCCATTTCCTCTACTAGCTTGATATTGGCCAACCCCAAGGTGCGGTCTTTGTCATCAAGTATATTGTGTATTTCCACTTGTACCTGAGGAAATCGACGTAAACGGAAATGCTGAATGGGTAACTTTATCAAATCCTCGCCTTTGCAGTCTCCAGAGAGAGGATTAACAAAGATAAACAAATAAATGCTTGGTCTTCCTTCTGCTTGGGTATCCATGAACCGAACTGATGTATTTAATTGTCCAGTTTCATACAAGGTAACGGGTCGCTTAAAGCTTTGATTAGCATGTTTTGAGCGGTTTTTTGACCCTGAGCCTTGTCCTCTATCTTGTTGTTCTGTATCAGCTGATGTAGACTTTTCAGTATTTACTGTGTTGCTTCGCTTTAGAGAACTAATTGGCATGATATTGTTCTTAGAATGAAAAAAAAAGAGAATAGAGAAAAGGGTCTACGATAGAATCATTCTTTTCCTTTTATATATTATCAAGAGAGTGTTATTACATCATGCATCTACGGAACAACACCTTCCTTTTTATTGAGTTTAAAGATCCGTGGACTTTTTCTCTCATTGCTTTTTATAATGTCTTGACTGACTTAATAATGCTACAAGTCTGTTTCTTGAGAGTACTAGCCGAGTAATCTGTTAAAGCTATTCTATTGAATAATGACAAATTTGCAACAAAAACGTCATTAATAAAAACATATTGCTTTCTGAATAAAAAGATGCAACTTCAATGAAAGCAAAGACTTTTACTCTTGAGTAACCCATTCGATAGTATATCTCTAAGTGTACCCCTTAAAAAAGTACTATTTGGTATCTGTCAAAGTCTACCTTTTTGCTCAGTTCAAAGCGAAATGCTATTTTCACACTGCGCTTGTCTTCATACCTCCCCTTCCACACTGTATATATTTTTTTATAATCAATAATGAATGACCGTTCATCTTCAACACTTGTAACAAAGCACTCTAATCAATCCACCAATCACTATGATAGTTGCTCCATTTGTTATACAAGGCCCAACACACCACTTGTTCCTCCTCTCAATTTTGCCATGATTGCATCAGGTGTTTATCGTTCTGGACATCCTAATCAACAAAACTTTGCGTTCTTACGTAAATTAGGATTAAAGACAATACTGTATGTAAAATTATAAAGAGAAAGAGTGAAAGAGAATAACGAATAATCTAGTTATTTTGCAATGGAAGATTATCCACCAGAGATGCAACATTTTGTAGAACAAGAAGGCATTCAAGTCTTTCATTACAGAACAGAAGGAAATAAAGAGCCATTTATCGAAGTGAATCCTGATGATATTACACATGCACTAGTTAAGTTATTAGATAAACGATGCCATCCTGTGCTGATCCATTGCTTAAAGGGGAAGGTAAGCGATACACACTCGGCTTATGATAAACAGCAAACTGACCTCAGAGTAAATATTAAGCACCGGATTGGATGTTTAGTTGGTTGCCTAAGGAAGATTCAAAACTGGTCAATGACTTCTATCTTTGATGAATACCGCAAATTTGCAGGAACAAAAGTGCTGGCAGATCAAGAGGTAATGGATACTAATTCATTTCACCCTTACTCACCTTGTTTAGTTTATTGAAATGTTTGACCGTGATCAAGTACCCTATGATCCTGTTTATAAACCTACTTGGTTACAGGACTAATGTAGTTGATAATACCCCCTTCCTCCTCCTTTTCTCTTTCTCCCTCTCCCTTTTGAAAATTATGTTGATGAATGATGATCCACACTGTTAAAGACGTTCAAACTTGTTTAATTTATATAATACTTTTGTATCAACTAATTCAATAAAACAATATAGTCTATCGCGTTTCTTTGTTCATAGTTTATTAAAATAAAAAGCTTGTTTTAAACACAGCATCATTATGATTAGACTCGCGTTCATAATCGAGTATTTTTTAATAATAATATAGGAAGAGAAGACGACTTTATACAGTCATTATGAAACATCAGGCTTATAAAGCTCTCCTTCATTTATTTGAATGGCATAACCTGCAGACGACCGATTATCTGGTTTTTGAAATTCATGAGACTCGTGAGCATGATTTGAAAGCGTAGAGTTATTTTCTTGATGAACGGTTCCAGGATCATTAGAACTACCAATGCTTGATCTATCCATCAACTCTCTTTTCTTCTTTTTCTTTAATAGAACAATGCTCACAATAAGGAATAAGCCACCGCCAATCTATATTAGATGTCAGTAGTCTATTTTTTTTAAATGGTATCGTCTGATCTTACAATGACAACACTCCCACTTACTGCGCCTGCAGTAATTCCTGCTTTGATACGACTGTCTGGATCCACTTTATATGCCGTTTCATCATTACTATTTCCATAGTTTGGATCATAGAATGGATCGAGCCCTGTTTTAGAAAACTGAATAATGAGCACGATTTTAAAAAGTGTATTATTCTGCCATACCGCTATTTGACGAGTTTGAGGAGTTACTATCATTGCCTGAGAGCCAAGCAGGATTGGGAGTGTATTGATTAACCCATGTCCAACTAGTAGTGCTCAGTAGGTTAACATCGTCAAATCCTGTATCTCCATCACCGATACCAAACATGACCAGCAAGTAATTACCAATTATAGTAGCTACATGTAAACATTTAGAAGAAAGAGTCTGTAAGAATAAAATCATGTTTTACATTTATGATATTTTCTAGGCTTTGGTGGTATTCCCTCAATAGCAGGTGCTGTCCACTGCATAGTAGAGAGTTCCAATATGAATACATCGTTAAACTGTGTACTTCTTCCATCTGTTGCTCCTCCTCCGAAAATGATGATTTTCCTACCGTCAAGGCCTATAGTCAATTACCAATCTTTTAGAAAATAACCTCTTCTTTTAGCTTTATCACCCCTCCTTTTTTTTGGCCTTTTATCGTTCCCTTTCAAAGACACTTACTAAGCACAGCTGAATGACCTCTTCTTGGAGCTGGTATATTTCCACCTGCAGTAACGTTATGCCAACGATTATTCTGGATATCAAACAACAGGAGCGAGCTCATGGAAACAGGGTTTAGTGTGAGATTATCTGCTGGATTAGCCACGTCATGAGAGTACATGACACCGCCAGTAATCAGAATATATTTATTGGAAATAATGGTGGCTGTATGATCAATGCGAGGGGGTGGATTATTTTCTACGGAAGGACGGCTAATGGTCCAAGTCTATGAAACATAAGGTTTATGACCGTTCAATTCCCTCTTGCTAGTATACGTACATTAGTATCAATAACAGTCCATGTGTTGTAGTAAATAGGAGGGCCACCATAAGTTAACATATCACTATTGTTAACAAAGTAAGTCACAGCAGAATAGATATGGTCATTTTAATCTACCTTACACCGCCCCATAGCCATACTCGGCCTTCGTTATCGGATACTGCAGTGTGTTGTTTTCTAAACGATAAAGAGAAAAAGGTGTTGATTATTATCTTTTTTGCTTTTCTCTCTCTCTTGTATACCTTCTTGCTAGCTGCTCTCCCTTCAAAGACGAAGAAGCCCATGTTCCTTTTTGAATATTGAAATAGATGTTTTGTGCTTTATTTAAATTTGTGCATGAACCTCCATCAATGAAAAAGTAATCGCTTATTGGTACATGTGTTGCAGCAAAAAATGAAAGCGGTGCTGTTACGTTATTTGGATCATTGCCCTTGAATAATGACCAGGCTGGTTCAATAGTGTTCCATGGACGGCTTAAACCTAGAATATACATCGAGTCGGTCATTGTGCTTGCTACTTGTTGTCCGCCGTAGCATATAAGTTCTCCTTTTGCTTTTGATAGAACACATCCTATTCTTTTACAAGATTAATTTTCTTTTTGTGTATAGAAAACAACATAACTTGCCATTGCCCCATCTTGGTGTTGGTTTCATATTTTGTGTTTGAGCTTGTATGCAAGCAAATATGAGAAAAATAAGTCCAAAAGTTGCGAGGAGCATCTATTGAATACTTGGACACGAAGAAATAAGTTGATAAAAGAGAGAAAAATGTAAAATATAATAAGGAATCAACAAATGATTGGATGTAGTTATGACAAGCTAGGAAAAAGAAAAAAAAAAAAGGAGCGTATGGTTCTCTTTCTTTTTACGATAATATCCATTTAACCATCACTAGTATTATATAATTCATTTGTATACCTTTAGAAAGGATATCTGTACGAATGTATTTACGCATTCTATCTCTCAGCTCTAAAGGGTGTTCTGTAAACTGTCATAATACCTAAGGAGACATGAGCCACAACTGACTTCATGTGTATAAAATGCCTTACATGCCGATAGTATGTACCGATACTTTAAGAACAATTACTATCAAGACGGTGTATGGAATTGCCTTTTTATATGGAACAAGCCTTCCTTTTACATAAAAAGAAGAGGACTAAAAGCTATACATATTTATTCTCATATAATGTCTGATAAAGCATCAAGAGCAATAACTTGCAGAACAGTCAAGACACAGCTTCGAATACTTGAGAAGCAGATGATGAAAGTATTATTTTGCTTTGTACTTGCACTACTTCAAGGCCAGTGATCAACTCTTTATCATGAAGAACAAATAACAAACAAGAAGTTAGAACAATATATGCCGTAAGAGTAACCGAAGTCTCAAAATAATATAAACTTTGCTAATGAATAGATAACACAAATATTAAAAGATGGATAATCCATTATTTTATTTTATTTTTGAAAGAAACATAGAACCGATAGCTAGACACTGCCCTTCAATAACCATAAAAAGAGCAAAGGAGCATTGTTCGTTAATTTCATTAAACATACAAAATAAGGAAGCAGAAAAGTAAGAAAATAGTAGAATAAAGAAGTTATGATAGTAAAGTCAATATGACCACAGCTTTTTAAAGAATTTATTAATTTTATTTCAATATTCTGCTTTATCTTTTTCCATAAATTTCTTTTTCTTGAAAGTTTTATGTCGTATGACGGCAGATCTGCCTCTCGCCTGATTCATATTCGGGAATGAACTTTATAATTCTTGATTATCCAGATTATACACACAAGATTTGTTTTAACCTCTTCTTCCGCGCAGCCATTGTTGTTGGGGAACTGGACACTTTTAGCAGGTAAGCGTAATCGCTAGGGAAGGAGCTCAATGACATAGCCTGCGTTAAGGTACAATATCATACACACTAGAAGAAAGTATTAGATATAGTTGTACAAGAGTGATTGCTTTGCGGTAGTTACTTACAATAGAGTAATAACTGTTCATTCAAAAATTGACAACGTCAACAAAAGGGGAAAGAAAGACATATAAGATTAAGTTCTTGATATATTGTGTAAGCTATCAATGACTCTAGTAATATTTAGTGTGTGTGTGCCTTTTTTGTTCATGCCAGATAGGCTGCCAGAGTGTCTCTATAGGGTACTTGATGAATACTGTACCTTCTCAAAAGGATAAATTGGAGTTCATTAGAAATATCAAAGTGTATAATTTGCGTATAAAAGTATCTTGGAAACAACTTGATATCTCATATTCTCAAAGCAGCCTTAGCGAGTTGATAAAAATAACTCTAATTTCAGCTATTAATTAAATGTACTTTTTATGTATATTGATGCTTTGATGCTTAGTACATCAACTAGAGAGATAATAATCATTATCTACCTGATCATAATGTTGATCGTCCACAAAGATAGTTGGCTTTCCAAAATAATTAGATTGCTTCGTTACTGACAAATATTAACCATGAAAATGTGAAAGCGCTCTCAAACATATAGCAGATCCTTCAAGAAAATACCACTGAATAGTTGTATGTCAATATGAACAGGAAAAAAGGAAGCATAGTGAAATGAATTATATAAAAATGCCTTTGAGAGATATTTAAAATCCGCTTTCATCTAACAAATAAATAACATTAAAAGCTGTTTGGAATCAAACGTCTTTTACAACAAATGTCTACAGATCAATCATTAACTTGGGATAAAAATCTTTGTGAATTCTTTAAAGAAGTTGGACTAATAGAAACAAGCGAATGCTTAAGATCAGAGCTTATTATCCTTTCACGCAGTCATTTGGAAAAACTACCTGACGAATTAGAAAAGTTAGTGACAAGACTAATAGAATGCTTAGAAAGACATGTACAGGCCAAAGAGGACACAATAGAAAAACCAGAGAAAGAACATAAGGATCTGCTAATCAGAAAACGTAAACATTCAGAAACAAATGAGGAAGAAGAACAGGAACGAATTAAGCGTATGGAAAGTGAACAGGTTCAAATACGAGCAATTGCTAAAGAGGTAGATCAGCGAGTGAATACGTTTATACAAGGAAAGAGAAACGAACTAGACGAAAGTAATCGAACAGAATTCCTTAATCGAATCAATCCTTCTGCTGAAGATGTAACATGTGCAAGAACAGACGCAAGGGAGATAAATCGTAACATACAAATGAAGTTCGATATCGTAAATAATGAAGATGGTCCACTTGCTCGTTCAACCATAACAGTGGGGAATAAACATACAGAGAACCATACAGCTACAGCTGCAGATCCGATAGAGCGTATAAATAACATGGAACAACATTTAAATATTAGACTAGACCATAATGCAAAACCACCGTTTTCAATATTTGAAAGAGTCAAGATACTCGAAAACACCTTGATGGAAATAGAGCGTGAACATCCACGGTGGGCTGCGGTTCATTTCAATCAACCCAATCGAACCTTCCCACCACCCCCACCGATCACATATATCACTCGGCCACCCTCTGAAGATGGATATACATCCACAAAAATTAACACAGCACCATCGCAGCCGAGAATGCTAAAGGCAACAGGAAGAGCAAATTCTTCGCTAACAAGAGCTGTGGTCGAACAGCTAAGTAGACAACAGCAGCTATCAGATGCAATGTCTGATTCACATTTATGAATTGAATAAACGCATACACACTATTGTTTATCTAAATTTCAAGCTTAAAAGTATAATAATCAGGATCAAAATGATGTACACGGACATAACCATCTTCACCACCACTTGAGTAGCCGGTTCCTTCTGGGTGAACAGCAATTGTATTGATAGGACCAAAGTGACCTCTAACACGACCAATTTCTTCTTCTAAAATCTTGTGATAGAATCTACTTTCGAATTTACCCTGTCTAGCAGAGGTTGTTGTTACGCTCATCGCATCTTGACCACCACCAATGATAACAAATTCTTGGTGTTTAGGTATAATGGATGCAGAGTTAAGAGGCGTATCTGCAGTATAAGTCTTCTTTATGTCTAATGTAATAGGGTCGATAATCTTTGCGCTCTTGTCTTTTGCGGATGTGATGAAGTATGTACGATCGATGCTGAACTGCATGTCAGATAAAACACTGTCATGAGCTTTAATAGACTTGACCTTTTCTTTAGCCTTCCAATCCCATTGACAAATAGTACCGTCTTCATGACCGGTGATGATATACTTGTCCAAATAAGTCCACCCAGCTACAACAGCCTTAGCTCCTCCGTTGTTGGTAATGGTGACAATTGGTGTATCAGATTCTATTGGCAGATGTGTGTCAGAGAATAGACACGCATTTATCAGCATAGCACTTACGAGTTCCGTTGATATCGTTGTTGATAGGATAGACTGTTACCGTACCTGAGTAACCCATACGTTCCTCAGTGACGCATAAAACCATGGAACCATCTTCACTAAATTCCACACGCTTAACCGCTGTCTTAAATTCCCAAGTCTTCAAACAGCGTCCAGTTTGAACTTGCCAAAGTTTACAAGAGTTGTCTGCTGAGCCGGTGACGAGCAATGTTGAATCAGCTATTTACATATAAAAAAGAATAAGAATCTTGCATCATCAATCTCTTTTAATTAAAACAATACCATTCACATCAATTGTCCAAATACTTCCTTGGTGTCCTGTGTAAGTACCTAATCGTTCACCATTATGGGAGTACCAAACATTGGCAATTTTATCTTTAGAGACTGTAAAAAGCAAATCGCCTTCTCTGTTGTATTTGATCTGAGTCAATGCACGAGTGTGGCCTTGGAGTAGAATGGGTCTCATTATGCTATAGTTAAAAGAGAGGAACTCGAAAAAAAAAAGTAAAAAAAAGAGGCTTTAACGTCTTATTTCATATTCCGACAAGAAAACCTGTCTCAATGGCCAATCAAGCTTATGACAATATAGGATGATGGAGTATTGTACACTTTACTAGGAGTAAATGTCTAAACTCCAGAAGGAGAACCGTGTTCGATACGGCGACAAAATGCTTGAGGCCTGCCATATCCACGAAGGATGCCATTGGCGACCTTGAAAATATTTTTTGAAGCGTTTATATCCCGTTGCCAAAGTAATCCACATCATGTGCAGGATTGGATGCCGTGGAAGTTTACAAAAGCAGATGTGAACGCCATATTTCCACAAGAGTTGCAGATCTATAGATAGTTAAGAAGGATATTCAAAATTAGAGAATAACGCTTTACCTTTGACGTTCGAAACTCATCAATTGTTACAACGATAACGTCGCCTTGCCTCTCTCTTTTTTT